CATTATGTGTGTTTCTCTCTAGGCGCCTTCATTACGGAGATTGCGATCGTCAACTTCATTTTAGCAGCCGACACTAACTTATTAATAAAAAATAGGCCTAATGCACTCGTGTCACCGGATTTACAAATGCACATCTTGTATAATACGCACACATATTATGTTGAAATAATGAGATATTATGTTGAAATAACATTATTTATAAAATATATATTTAAGAATATTTGATTGAATGCTGAATGTTGTGCTTGTTCAAATTAAAGGAGAACTCCGGTCAATTTTAACATTGAGCTAATTTTTTTGTACTTTTGGAGTGCTGTCAGTACAGTACCTGTATTTACTTCCTGTTTTCGTTCGAAGTCCACAGTAGTCGATTGTCGAGTTCGCGCGCGCGATCTCTGATATTAGTTACCAATGATCGCGCGCGCGAACTCGACAATCGACTACTGTGGACTTCGAACGAAAACAGGAAGTAAATACAGGTATGTGAGCTGGCTGAATTAACATCATTTTTATTAATATCTTTCACATCTACTGCAGTCAGATTGACCGTGGTCACTCTTAATAACACCACTCACATGGCTGTGCACTTGTAATGACACATTAAGGTTGTTAAGAGGCTAAAATCAGGTTTAGAACTTGCCCCATTGAAGTCAACAGGGTGCGAATTTTAAAAAGAGGATAACACGGTGTAGGCAACACCGATTTTTGTCGTTTTTGTCTGTACTGACAGCACTCCAAATGTCGCCGATCAGTTATTCACTGCAAACGCATCATATGTGAAAGCACTATAGCGCGCGTTGCTCCTGCACCGCAACACGCACTGCAAACGGGGTATGTGTGAAACGGGCGTTAGATGATAGATCCACCTACAGTTCTTAGAAACTTAGATGTGTTTAACAACTCTTTTTTTCGTACAACAGCAGCACTCATCTTGTTCGTTTATAGCGGATGCGGATGAACAGCCGTAAACCGGAAACTGACATGCCGACTTCTGACAATAGCGGAAGTTCGAAATTACGCTTGTGCACATAGCCTATACAAAGTTGTATATCATTAATGTCATCAGAACACAAGCAATTAAAAAAAAGTTAACAATGATTGATAAGAAAGATAACCAAGGAAAGCTAGGGAAAAAACACAAGGGTGAGATATTAATTTATTGTGGTGGCAATGTAGTTTTTTTTAATGAATGCAAACACTGAATACAACAAAATGGCTGGTGGCAACACAGTAGTTCAATGTGGTGCGACGACGTTGGAGTCACACGTTAGTTTCAGCGTCTGTGGTGCGACGACGTTGGAGTCACACGTTAGTGTCACGCATCTGTGGTGCGACGACGTTGGAGTCACACGTTAGTGTCACGCATCTGTGGTGCGACGACGTTGGAGTCACACGTTAGTGTCACGCATCTGTGGTGCGACGACGTTGGAGTCACACATTAGTTTCACGCGTCTGTGGTGCGACGACGTTGGAGTCACACATTAGTTTCACGCGTCTGTGGTGCGACGACGTTGGAGTCACACGTTAGTGTCACGCATCTGTGGTGCGACGACGTTGGAGTCACATGTTAGTGTCACGCATCTGTGGTGCGACGACGTTGGAGTCACACGTTAGTGTCACGCATCTGTGGTGCGACGACGTTGGAGTCACACGTTAGTGTCACGCATCTGTGGTGCGACGACGTTGGAGTCACACGTTAGTGTCACGCATCTGTGGTGCGACGACGTTGGAGTCACACATTAGTTTCACGCGTCTGTGGTGCGACGTACCCCTTCTCTCACGTAAAAGTACACGACTGTCACCTTCGGAAGGTTATCCGTGGCACTATCCACTCGCTATACAGGCAAGCCGGACAGATCTCTCTTCTCGCAGTGGATCAGACACCTGTGAGATCAAAGATCAAATTTAAGTTCTGTTGCTCTTATATGAAAATAAATATAATGAACAAGACACCCAAAGTACTTATTTAATTCCATTTTAAATAGGCGTGTTTATCAATCATTTTTTCTTTAATACAGACTTGTTTTTATTATTATTTTTTTAAAAATTACATCACATAGATCGCACTGTCAGAGAGTTTGGGAATATCCACACATAATACACATAAAACATGATATCAGAATTTTAAAATCATGATTTTGAAAGAGAACAATACATCACAGTTGTTTAAACCAATGAGCATTAAGCTGTGTCGTCAGCAAGTCGTTTCCCATCGTGCTTTTGATCAGCGCAGTCGGTGGAGAGCAACTGCGCGCGACTGCAGAATCCGACACGTGCGCCTTGCGGTCGCGAGAGTTTTTTGACATACGTCGGCATGACATCAGAGCAAGGCGGACCGCGCTCGGACACATTTCTAACCGGCATGCATCTCGCGCTGATCACCGGTGATCGGTTCTGCGCAGATTTTGCTCATCTCAAACAAGCCTACTCAGTTCCACTAATGTTCATGTAACGCAGTTCGTTGTTGTGGGAAGAAGGAGGTGGGAACCGGCGAACATTCAAAGACTTTTGTAAAATAAATCAACAACAAAACGAAAGTAAAGACTGCAGTCCCTCACGGACGACTGCCACATAATAAAACAAAACATCCAATAAAATAGTCCAGGCCTGGTCCTCTCTCGTCCTTCACGATCATCGCTTCTCCTTGTATGCTTCCGCTCCTCCTCTCTCTGCCTCATCCTGCTCCCCACATTTCACAAATCTGTTTTTTATATCAGTAAAAGCATGTTTAATGAAGTCGCGATGTTATATTGTGTCATGTTTATCAAAATAAAACTGATTAAAAAACGTAGACCCCACTACATTGGTATAGTATAGGTATGCATATTAACTAGTGAACTCAGACATGAAGGAAAACAGAAAGGACAGAAAACAAATTCAAAACTGAACATAACTGTAGCCTAACATATACTGTGAAACCATGAAAATAGTCAGATGTTGTTGGTATGGCAATAAAACACTTCAAATAGGCCTACAACCCCAAATCAGTTGGGACATTTTGTAAAATGCAATAAAATCAAGAATCTGTTATTTGTTCATTCTTTTGAACCTTTTTTTAACTGACAAAAGTACAAAGAAAAGTTTTCCAATGTTTTCACTGACCAACATAATTGTATTTTGTAAATATGAACAAATTTTGATTTTGATGGCTGCAACACACCCCAAAAAAGTTGGGACAGAGACAGGTTTACCACTGTGTCACATCACCTTTCCTTTTAATTACACTTTTTAATCATTTGGGAGTTGAGGATACTAATTGTTGGAGTTTTGCTAGTGGAATATTTGCCCAATCTTGTCTGATACAAGACAGCTGCTCAACAGTCTGTGGTCATCATTGCCTGATTCTCCTTTTCATGATGGGTCATACATTTTCCATAAGAGACATATCTGGACTGGAGTAAACAGGCAGGCACATCCCTTCTATGGTGCAGAGTGTCTAGAAACCACTCAGTTGTAGCACGTGCAGAATGAGGCCTGGCATTGTCTTGCTTCATGCAGGAAAGATGTCATCTTGATGGCAGTTTATGTCTCTGTCACTGGTCTCTGTACAATCCAAATATATGCCTCCATGTCAATGGTACCTTCACAATAATGCAAGTTACCCATACCGTTTGCAATGATGCACCTCAATACCAGGACAGATGTTTGCTTTTGCACCTGTTGCTGGTGAAAGTCTGGTTGGTCCCTTTCGTCTTTGGGACTGAGAACTCGATTCCATTTTCTCCCAAAAACAAGCTGAAACATGGATTCATCTGACCACAGCAGACATTTCCACTTTCTTATAGACCATCTGAGATGAGCTCATGCCCAGAGAACTCGCCGGCATCTCCACATAGAACTGATGTAAAGCTTTCTCCTTGCGTAACAGAGATTCAAGTGGCATTTCTTGATGCAGCGTCAGACTGTGTTCTGTGTTCGGTTTTCCAAATTACTCCTGACCTGAGCACATGTGGCTGTATTTGACAGAGTAGCATGATGGTATCTTGTGCAATGCCATCTGAGGGCTCAAAGGTCACGCACATTCAACAGAGGTCTACTGCCTTACTCAACACAGACTGAGATTTCTCTGGATTCCCTGAATCTTGTGACAATATTATGTATGGAAGATGATGAAAGGCATAAATGCTTTGCAATCTTGCATTGAGAAATGTGATTTTTTAATTGTTTGACAATTCTCTCAAGATATTTGGCACAAAGTGATGAGCCATGACCCATCTTTGCTTAAAAAGACTGAGAAGCACTTTTACACCCAAACATGATACCCTCAACTATTACCAATTCACCTGCTCATTGTGGACTGTTTCAAAATAGTTGGATAATCTAATTTGGATAATCTTTTCACTTTTATTTGGTCTCTGTCCCAACTTTTTTGGGGTGTGTTGCAGCCATCAAAATCAAAATGTGTTCATATTTACAAAATACAATTATGTTGGTCAGTGAAAACATTGGAAAACGTTTCTTTGTACTTTTGTCAGCTAATAAAAGGTTAAATAGAATGAACAAATCACAGATTCTTGATTTGCATTTTACAAAATGTCCCAACTTTTTCTGTTTTGGGGTTGTAAAACAAATATGAGCAAAGCGTAAATAAAACTGTATGTAACAAATATTTTAACATTTTCTAATCTTATTTTAGTAGTTCCAACTTTTTAACCTATCAAATGTTATTTTATGTTTATTTGTAGGCATACAAACAGCTATAGCTATTACTTTAACCACGCGAATAGTTAGTGACTTGCTTGAAACCTATAATGGTGTGTCTCTTGATAACTTATGATGATAGTGCTCTGCTCTCGTCCAGCTTCATGGTTTTTTTCAGTCTATGGGACAAAGATAGCGGCGCGCGACCAAGTCATCAGTGTAGCTTGCAGCGCCCTCTGTTGGAGAAAATAAATAAGCACTAAATGATTGGTCTTGTAACAAGCAGACAGTGTTAGTCGGGAGTTTTTGCAGTGTATTTGCTGGGTGTTTTGTACATGCTGTCGAACGTGGACATTTCCGGGAACAGCTCTAGTCGGGGACAGCACAAAAAAAACCGGCATTGTCGCGAGATATTGGAGATAACGGTGACCGACGTCTGGTCACCCTCAGGCTAAATATTAGCCATTTCACCAAGCGTCTTTTAAGACTGTGTTTGACTTTGTTCTGGATAAGACACATTTGCCACCTCTGGCAAAATCAGTTTCACTTTAAAAAATTGACTGATTTTACATGAAAAATTGAAACATGAAATTATTAAATTCAGATGAGTTAAAAATAGCAGAGACTACTTTATATGCGCATCTGCCTAAATCCATAAAGGTAATTATGTTTATTTTATGTCACAGTAATCCGCGAATGCTTTTACTGTCGCATTTAATCAAATACTTTTTTTTTTTTTTTAGGTTTATGGGTTTGTTTTTGCTATAAACAGACGGAAACCACACACGTTGGAAGTATTGGTGGATAAGTGGCCAGCTTTTACCACTATCATTGTTCGACCAGATCCAAATGTGAGATTTCGTTGTTTAGCTATTAACTATCCAAAACTTTGTCCAACCACTTTACAGTCAACATCACTAATGTTCGTTTGAAATCATTAGAATAATCGAGCAAAGGACTTTATGAAGAAGGTGACTCTTTACAGTACAGATGAAGAAGTCCTGAGAAGAATGCTGACTGTGGAAAATGCAATTGACTGGAGCACATACTTCTTAATAGGAGGTAGGCTATGTCTTTCCCCCCAATTTTATATTATATTATTAATGCGACTTCCTGTTATTTTAATTACCCTACATTAATGCTAGGATGTGATCTACGTCATTCACCAATGCTGGAGGAAATTGCTGCTTCTCGGGGTGTCAATATGAAAGGTTTCTCCTTAGTGCACCTAATGATATTATCTGATCCCGGTAATTTACCGGAGCTCATTACCAGGTAAGATGGTCCCTCTATTTATTCTGTTTGAGAAGGTTCTGTCATGAACCGACAAATATCGATTTGTGTTGCAGTATATGCATTTAAATAAAAGATTGATAATGCATAAAATATCCCTTATGTCTTTGCCTTCTTCCTCAGTGACCTTGAGACCAGAGTGTCTGTCCTGAATGAGTCACATGCCAATGTAGTTAACAAGACTTGGAAATTTGGTGGGGATGACAAAGGTTACAGGAACATCCTGAATCTCATCAGCCATTTCCCCACATGCTGCATTACAGATGAGAACAACCAGCCTGTGTCCTGGGTACTGTTGTATGATTACTGTGCCATTGGAATGTTATACACTCTACCAGAGCACCGTGGGAAGGGATATGCCAAAACCCTGGTCACTACAATGGCAAAGAAGCTCCATTCTCAGGGCTATCCTGTTTACTGTTTCATTGAAGAAAGCAATCAGCTTTCCTACAAACTTTTTACAAGCCTTGGTTTTATTGAGGACTGCTCTTATAGGGCTGCCTGGTACGAATTCATTTGTTAGAATGTATACTCACTATTACCGGTACTCCTATATGTGACTGAAAAAACCTTCCTTGAATGTCAGCATGAAATCAAAATTCACAATTCTAATTTTTTAATGGTAGTGTTTATTATAAAAACGGCAGTGTTTGTTATAAATGATTTATTCATGCACGCCATTATTTAAAAAAAAATTAATATGCACTTGTAATCTTTAATCAAAAACATTAACTTTCCCTCCCCTTGCAACTCTGATTACATAAAGGTGCAGTCACGTACAAAAATATCTATTTTATACACAGTTGTAACATTTTCTATACATTTTGTTGATGACATTGTGTTCTAGAACTTTCACTAAAAATGTTTTATGAATGGTCAAATCACCAAACTTATGTTTGAACATCAGAAGGGTAATTACACTACTAGCCTCATGTTAGGGGAAATCTGTGTCATGTCAAGTATTAAGTTGAGTTACTGGAGAATGCCTGAGCAATTTCCATTTTAAATAAAAAAAAATTATTAACCTAAATACATTTACACAAATGTAATACAATATCCCATCCAGAGTTGTATTTTGCTGGAAATTACTTAGTTTCTCAAATATATTTATAAACCAGCCTCAAAAAATTCCCTGTTGCCAAACTTGTGGCTGCAGTAGCATCTTATTACATATTTTTGTGGGGGAAATACTTTTTAATTTTATTTATAAAATGGGATTCTCAATGCTAGGGCACCGTAAAATTACTCAATTATTACCCCCACAAGTACAAAATGATAACTGTTCCCATATGCATCACTCAATTACAGGCATTTTAACCATATATGTATATAGGTATATTTCATAAAACTATTCTAATTAAATATTGTTCACAAAGGAAATAAATAAAGGTCCCGATCCGGAAACGATTCCACGCAGGGGCGGGCAGGACGCTGTAGATTTAATGCGTTGCATGAGCACTCGTGAACTCTAAACTTTAACGTTTACAAACGCAAACCATGACGCAAACCCATAAAAAGCAACCCCTTCCTGTATACCTAGTTACGTACGTACTGGGTAGGGTTGCCAGCTCTGCGTTAAAATGACCAGGGACGTACCAAAAATCAAAATAGGCCTGTGGCATTCATTCCCATACCTAAAATACACATTTTATAGTCAGTGGTAGGCCTATTCAAAATGAAAGCACTATCATGATAATAAACACAGCTCAAAGGCTCTATACCAGTGACCCTACTTTACAAAACTTACAATCTAGCAGTTTTATCAATGGTAGAATATCAAATATTTCAATACAAGCATTTCAGTCAAACACAATTTGTGCAATATATCAAAACTTTAATCCGCGGGGAAGAAAAAACCCGCGGCAACCGTTCAGACGTAGTCCATTCCGCGGGAAAACAGCGGATTTGGCAACCCTGGAACCTGGTCTGTTCTATGGTTCGGAGGCTTTTAAATGCATTGCGAGAATTTGCGACAAATATATGACTTGTCTCTGACTGCGAGCAATACAGTAGACACGCTGACGCAGAAAGAAGAGACCCCTCACAATGCGTCAGCTGACTACAGAGGATCTGAAGACCCTGGAAGTAGACCTTAAAAACTACTTTCCACAGTCGCTGCAGGTTTTAAAAATTTCTAAAATTCATAGAATGCTTTACTTTAGCCAGGCCCAGGCCTACATGCAACTCAACTGTCAGCGTTAGCGTTAAACGTTGTGTGTGTGTATATATATAAAAATATATATATAATATTTTATTTTGTCCTGGATACATATAGGTATATGGATGTATTGTTCAACTCAACAGAACTGGACAGAGAGCTGATCCTGTTAGTGTGTTTGTTGACCTGTGGCCAGACTTCAGAGTTTTACTCATTAAACCAGAAATTCGTGAGGTATAAGGAATATTGCAAAATTTAAGTGTTTGGTTGGATATTTCACAACACTTAGGATAGGTTCAACAACCCATTTCTGTTTTTTCTACAGACAGGAGACCTTTTCAAAGACTTGACTGTGTTTTCAAAAAACGATGTCTACCTCAGAGACCTGCTGGCACAGACAGATGTCATTGACTGGAAAATGTATATTTGCTTAGGTACTTGTATCTCTTTTTGCAAGTTTTTTTTTTACATTAGTATAAATCACTGAAAAGGTCTAAAACTTTTTCCATTTAAATCGTTGTCTCAAGCCACTGAGCTTCATCATGAAAAGATGCTGGAATTAGTGGCTATAAACAGAGGTGTACCCGTGAAGAAAGAAGCAGTGTGCCTCAAGTTGGTTCTTCGAGAGCCATCAAAATGTTCACAAATTGATAGGTGAAGTATACGCTGTAATCATTAACACCACACTTCAGACACAATTTTATGGCAGTTCATAGTTCAAGCTATATTGCAGTAATTTGTCACTGAGTACAAGCACTGTAAGTGAAACATGTAACCTTTTAATGGCTCTTCGGTTGTTGTCATCATCATTGTATCTCACGCTTAACCCTCTGTTGGTCTTAAGTAATTTCAGAATGAAAGGTTTATGTTTTGAATTTTCATTTTTTTTTTACTTCATTGAAATGGTACGAAACTTGTGCCACTTGCTATATGAACAAACAAATTGTAGACATGATTAGAAAAGGCTAAATGGTCTTAAAAAATTGTCTCACATAACTTAACAGTCAAAAATGAATGTCATTGGATATGAATGGGAAAATGGGAAATTTGAAAATACAAAGCAATGAAGTAGTCTTCTTTGATAATGTCTAAATTGTATATCCAATGCAAAACCTAATAAAAGTAAGTGATAATGTCTGAAAACCTTTTTATAAGTAACTAGGGATTACACAGCCCAATTATAGGCTATATTGGCATCTAGTGCACTATAGTATTGCATGTGATTTTCTTTATGTTTCCCACCAGATGACACCAACCTGCCTTCCATGCATTGGATTAATAAATACCTTTTTAACACACTATAACTACTTGAAACTTAAAGCTTTTTAAACTACAAACTTTCTGGATGGCCAACAAAGTTTGTCTCAAACATTTTAATCTAGTTTTTCTCATATTTGTATTATTTTAGTGTATAATTTAGAGGTTATGTTGTCTAGTACCATGAAATCCCCTCAAAATGCAACATCCTGCATAATACTGCAATCATTTATTAAAAACAAATGTTACCCTTATTTTCTTTGGTCTGTATTGACCACCAAGGATTGCAAGTGTGACCCCTAAAGGCAGGCTCACACTCACACTACAGGACTTTTGGCTAGATTTTGCTGTCGCTGACAAATGTCCAAGGTCTGTGACAAAACCCCTGGATCGCCACCAAATCGGTGCTTGTTGCTGTCGCTGATGTCAGCAACGTGATCTGAGTCTGTCTCACACGCTGCGAAATTTTCAAACCTGTTGGATATTATCGCCACGTGATCTTGTAGTGTGTGAGTGATGAAACAACATGGTAAACTGCTCTAATGATATCATGCACCTAAACATACATGAATACAAGGTGACAATTTGATCATAATTGTTTTATACTAAGAATCTAACAAAAAATATATTTAAAAAATGTAAATAAGTGGTCTTTGCTCTATACTTAACATTATGATATATTTTATTTACCATCAGTTTTTGTGTTGTTTCGTATGAGCGCTGCTAAGACAAGAAGACGACAAGAAAAATTGTATTGTAGTGTGAGCACTGTGGCGATTCACGTAGCCTCATAGTTCTGTAGTGTGAGCCTGCCTTTAGTGAGAAATATCAGGTTAAACTAAAATTTGTTTTCTTTTTCCTGCAGTTTATCACTGAAGCTGTCTTCTCTCAACGAGTCTCATCTTGCACTAGTCAACAGTAGCTGGAAGTTTGGCTGTGAACACAGCAAAGTAATGATTAGGAATATGATTTTGAACTTTCCCTCTTGTTGTGTCCTGGACGCAGATGATCGACCAGTAGCATGGATATTAACGTATCCCTCCTGTGCTCTGGGAATGTTGTACACGGTTCCAGAACACAGAGGAAAAGGCTTTGCAAAAGCACTGGTCACCATTATGTCAAAGAGACTCCACTCTCAAGGCTATCCAGTGTACTGTTTTATAGAGGAGAAGAACCAGTTATCCTACAGGCTCTTTACAAGCCTGGGTTTCACAGAGGAACCGGATTACAGGGCAGCCTGGTTTGTATTTAATGATTTTTAAATGGGCCATATCAGAACAACCAATCAGAATTGTTTAGCTTCTGTCTGAAATGCTATGTATTATGTAAAAGCTGTTTACTGATATAATGTAGTACAACTTAAAAAAAAAAAACTTCCTCAAGGCCACATCAACAACCAAAACAATTGATTTATTTAAATAAGGAATCCATTCCATCAATAAAATGTGTACAACACAACTATTTATTCTTTGTATCACATGTAAAACAAACATTTACAGTTAAACTACACATTGTGTAGCATCAGCTTGATTTGTAAGCCGTTTTATTTTTCTGCATACTCTTCTAGTCGAAGCAGCCATTTCTCCCAGAATGGCCTAATCTGCTGTGAGTTCAAAAAGTGAGCATGTGCGGGTGATCCATCTTTGTAGGCCACCACAATTAAACCGTTTTTTACCTATGTGTAAACAACAGAACATGATGGAAGACTCCAATGGAAAACTTCAACAAGCCATTTAAAGAGAGTAAATGCCTTTAGGCCCTGTATATACCTGGCAATAAGATGTTCATTAGTGGTCAGACAAGACCGTTTACACAGGGTATTAACATGTGACCACTTTCAAATAGATTTTGAGGGGAGCGATCTTATGACTACATAGTATGTACATACACTACTGTTCGAAGGTTTAGTGTAGGTAAGATTATTTTCATGCTCATCAAAGCAGTATTTATTTGATCAAAATTACAGTTACATTTTGTGAAATATTACAATTCAAAATAACTGTTTTCTACTTAGCGACTTTTAGACCCCTTTACCTTTTTTTTAATGACTAGCGACAAATCTAGTGACTTTTTGGACTGCTGGTTAGCATGTAGTCAGTCACTATATCATACTCTTTTCATATTTTGACAGAAAATATGTAAATGAGAACAGGTTTTTTGGGATATCCGACTATGTATTGTATTAAAATACAGTATGTAAGCACGGATTAGGTGAAAAAAACGATGTTAAGTGCAGACAGTTGGCGCATTATTCATCTGTTTATCATTTCGCTTCTTTTTGAGCAGGCTTTTTTTTTTCAATCCTAGCACAAAATTGATAGTTCAAGCTGAATTCTCATTCAAGTACCTGCATTAATTAATCTGTGTGACTGCATGTTGACATCAGGCAAAATGTAGTTCTGTGATGTCTTGTGCATATAATAATAATTTGTTACATTTATATGACGCTTTTCTTTGCACTCAAATCACTTTACATATGAAAGGAAGGAATCTCCTCAACCACCACCAATGTGAAGTGGCAGCCATACTGTGCTAGAACGCCCAACACACACCAGCTTATTGGTGGAGGAGCTAGAGTGATGAAGCTAATCAGTATTTATATGAGATGATTAGGATGCCATGATTGACAGAGGCCAATGGGAAAATTTGGCCAGGTTTCCAGGGTTAAACCCCTACTCATTTTCGAAGGACATCCTGGGATTTTTTTACGACCACAGAGAGTCAGGATCTCGGTTTAACGTCTTATTCGAAGGACGATGCTTTTTTTGTTTTGTTTGTGACAGTATAGTGTCCGCATCATTATACTAGGGCCCCCTGCTGGCCTAACTATATATATATTTGTTTCAGATCTCAATACCAGGTGTAAATGGGGTCATAGTAATGTTTACCTGGTAGCTGTAGTTGTTGTCACTGTTCAAGGCTCCAATGTATGCAGCTACTTGTAATGGATTGTCATAAGTATGGCGAAGCAAGGGCTTAGGCTTTTCAGAGGTCTTCCAGTCAATGACACACAATGAACCTCTGTATGAAAGCAGATAAACTTTAGTTTTAGGGGACAATTCAACATGACCAATATATAAAAAAGGAATGAATAACAATGTCAATATGTGCAAGAAAGCATCAAGAATACATGATTCTATTAAAAAAATAAAAAAGGTGTATGATAAATCTCATTATGAATTCTTGTATGACTTTTTGATTCAAAGGAATTCATCTCACCTGTACTGGGCAATACAATCTACAATCCCCAGGTACTGTAAAGTAGAATGATGCACAGCACTCTCAATAGCTCTCACTCCTGTTATATCATTCAGCACATGAGACGCACTCTCTACAAATCCGGACACCTCCAATGGGCGATCAGGGTCCTCTTTAGAAGGGGTTTCCTGGGTGAAATGGTCCTCAATGGCAGAATGGAACAGCTGTCCTTGTCTGAAAATGTCTAAAACACAACACATATTAATTAGGAGGAGAGGAGTAGATATTTTAATATTCAATTAAAGAAAATAAATATTCTTACTCAAGCTGTATTCTTTAAATCCTTCCTCTCCGAGTTCAGCAATCATCCTTCTCTTCCACCTCTCCAGGTAAAAGGCTTGGTCAGGTGGCATGGTCTTCTGTAGGATTCGGGTCACACTAGGTGATGTCGTATTAGAGTCCCTCTGTAATGTTATACGAGCCAAAGGTCCCGGCACATATTCCGACTGACCTTTGGCCTCATTTAACAGTGGATGCAGGTTTTTAGGTACTTTGGGCTGTTGTGAAGGCGGTCTGGATCTTATTACAGGTCCGTACAGCTGACAGTCCTCATCCTCGATGCTCGCAGGAGTCTGTGAACTGGTTTTTGAGGACAACACCGCACGCACCAGAGACGAGTAGCGCTCTGTGTCCACTGTGCTGTATTGACTGACCTTTTTGCTTGCTCGCCATTGACAGCTGGTTGAAAAGTTGTCCACACGCGAGAACTGACCAGAGGGGAAGCCCATTGATCTCGCACACTTGCATTGTATTAATAGCTTCAATACTTGCATTGTAATCGTCATATGTAATGTTCTTATCCGGTTTCTATGGGGATGTTTACATCAACTTTCTCATGCTTTGGAAAATGGATAGATAGATTAAGATAAATAAACAAAAAAAAGTAAGCGATCACGATGTTACTACATTTCAGATTCAAATGGAGCGCAGTTTGAACTGGATCTACTGGGGAATTATGGTAATTGTAGTTTGAACTTCGTCAAACGTACGTTGAACATGTTTCGGTAAAACAGCATTTCCCACAATGCAACTTTAAGGAATAGGATTTGAAAGTAGTTTTTGTATTTAATTGACAGCAAACGCATAACTTCTATATGTATACAGGCTCAACGTTCTGAAGTAGAAATCCAATAAACAATTGTATTGAAATTACTCGAAGCTTTTTAACACGTTACTACGGTTACTACCATAGACTGTAAAAAAATACTACACGTCCACTTTACATACAGCAGCTTCTCACAAGTCACATCCCGCGACATCACATGCTGTTAATGAAGTTATTTAATATTATTATTGTTCTATAAATTGGGTATGTAATATGTTTTTTCTCTCTCTTCACGACGATATGTGACTTGTGAGAAGCAGCTGTATAAACACAATTTCTTTCAAACAAGTCAAAACATGGACAACAGAAAGTAAAAAAAAAAAAAGAAGACTTTTATTTTGACGTGTTGCCAGAAAAAATCGAGCCGGATGTCCACAGTGACAGGCGAGAGTGGAAAGTGAGGAGCACGAGCAGCAGTTGGAAAGTTAAAAGTACAGTTTAATGTACAACTCAGAGACGATACAATAAGTGGAATATCTTCTGAACATGACATCTATATCACAGGACAGTGATAAGGAGAAGGTAAGTGTTGCCATATCTCTCTATAGAGTCAAAGTTTGTTAATGAATTAAGCACTCGTCTTTCTCGGTTGCTTAATAACCGCCCAGCACTGTTTTGAACTTTATAGTGAGAAACTTAATAGCACGTTTGTGATGTCTTTGACCCCTTACTAGCTGTGTTCCCCAATAATAACAACAACGGCAAACCAGTTTTAAAGCCGTCTTCGTGTCATAACGTTAGTCTATCTAGCTGCTAACTTATCTATCGTCCGTCCGTCTATCTGTCTGTTTGTTAATAATGATAATATTTTAGCTGGTAGTGTAATTATATTGGTGTGATATTGGCCAATGCGTCATTAGTTGTGTTTGTTTTGTCAATAGGTAAAAACGAATCGTCGAATGATGTATATTATTATTTTACAGTCTCTTTTCTGAAGACATCATTTGAGGAAGTTTCTCTAACTGCTTTTTCCGCACTCTATGACCGTTCACTACACTGCTTATGTAGTAAACGACAGTATGTTTTGTTGAATAGGTGAATGAATAACATTTTTTCTTTACCAACATGGTTTCATAAGCATATATATATTTTTTCCAGTCTATGGCAGAGTAAAATACAATAGACAAGACATAACTACAGTTCTCAGTCTTTATTTAAAGCGCTCTTCTTGATTTGTCAGATTGAGTTTTTAACAAATCTTTTTATTTATTTATCTTGATACAGGTGCGTTCTGTATCAGTCGACTTGAATCACGATGCATCTCTCCTCATTGATATTCCTGATGCCCTCTGTGAGCGTGACAAAGTCAAATTTACCGTCCACACCAAGGTGAGCCAACAGATCAAATTTGCTGCCATTCAAATAAGTCAGTGCTTGAGTAGCTTGCATGCGTTAATGTATTATTTAGTGTAACTTACCATGATCTATAATAGTTTGATTGTCTGTCAGTGATTGTTTTGTCAAATACCAATGATGTAGTTTCTAGTTTTAGATCAACTCATTGACTCATACTGTCAATTTGCTCTTCACTTCCTCGCAGACCACACTTAGTTCCTTTCAGAAGCCAGAATTTTCTGTGCCACGACAGCACGAAGATTTCATCTGGCTCCATGACACAATTGTGGAGACTGAGGATTATGCTGGCCTCATTGTAAGTTTAAAACCCATATCCATATTGTCTAGATTTATGAATGCTCATCACTAGCAACAGAAGGCAACTGTTGGCCAACATGCAAACCATAGAGTTTATCTATTGACCATCTGTTTGCATTGTACATGGTTGGAATTAGAGATGCGCGGATGGGCTATTATTTCATCCGCAACCGCATCACAAAACTCATCATCCGTCCGCCATCCATCCGCACCAACGTTTTTGACCAATTTTCAAAACCGCACCCGCCCGCCATCCGCTGATTAGGCGATACAAGGCGCTGCTGATGACAGCCGCGAGACTAGAAAGCTCTCAGAAAATCAGCAATAAACTCCGTCTCCGATCAGCGCGCAGGGACAAAAATAAATAAATAGCCTAAATTAAACGCACTTCGGAACACCTGACCTTATCTGATGGGCTACTGTACAATATTTTTATTGTAGCCTAATAGAAAACGCATTTTGGCACATCATTTCAACATGCTGCTATTGTATAGGGCGTGACAGTTCTCCATTACGGACGCGAACACTCAGAAAGCGGCACTAAAAGACTTTCAAACTTTCACAATAAAGCACAAAGCCTTTCTTTAAAGCGAATTTCGTTTTGTATTAATTGTATCTTCATTTTAATCCACGTTTCATTAACCAATTTCCTGGATTTAATAAGTAGGCTAAAAAGTCAATAGTCTATCTTCATTGTGTAGGCTATTTTTCATTATAAAATATTAGGCTGTGTATACCGACATGGATCAATTATTAATATTAGATTTCATCTGTCTTTTGTAGGCATAGCTGATGGCGCACCAATGAAAAAGCCTAGGAGTGACTTCGGCGTTTCTTTAATATCGAGGCTCTATAGTTTATTATATGATTGTTAGGCCTGTTGATGGTATAAAATGAATTGCACTGTGCCTGAAAAAGACGCGCTCTCCGCTCTCTTCCCGTGCATTCAAAAATAACGGGAGTCTTCAGAACAGGCTCGTCCAGCGTCAACGGCACCGAACTTAGCTCCAATGTCAATCAATGTCTGGGCCAATTGGTGGAATCCTTTACGAGAAAAAATATCGAACGGGCGCATATCAAGAGAGCGCACAACTTATTCCAGGCAACACTTTTCTGACCTTCTATTTCCTTTGTTTTTAATTCTCCTTTTTTTGAGTTTGTCACGTAGCTACCTCCTTCGCCGGCGTTGCCATCTCTGATAACAACAAGCAGTCTCTGCATAGACTCAAATAGCTGATGAAAATTTGATTATTTCAAAGTGTGCTCGATTATTTTTATTTTTTTTGATATAGGTATATAGTCATATAACAATATTTAACAATGTATATTTTTTCATTTGATTGGTTCAACCGCCCGCCCGCCACCCGGCCGAATTTAATTAAAATATTTTTTTCGTCCCGTCATCCGCCCGATCCGCGGATTATCCGCGGAGTCCGCGGCTGTAACCGCCAACCGCGCATCTCTAGTTGGAATAGCCAAGTAGTCTCATATTGAGTTGGCTTGCTTTTACAGTGTACTTTCCTCCTTCCTCCCTTGTCGATATTCCTCAGATTCCTCCCGCCCCACCAAAACCTGACTTTGAGGGTCCCCGGGAGAAGATGCATAAATTGGGAGAGGGGGAATCGAGCATGACAAAGGAAGAATATGCCAAAATGAAGCAGGAACTTGAGGCGTGAGTCAAATTCTACATTATATATATATATATATATATATATTTTTTTTTTTTTGCACATAGGTTGTGGCATTATTGACATTTAAATGTGTATAATTAAATCAGTGTATCGTTTCAGAGAATATCTCGCTGTTTTTAAGAAGACCGTGCAGGTTCATGAAGTTTTTCTTCAGCGACTCTCCTCCCACCCTGTCTTCAGCAAGGACAGAAACTTCCAGATCTTCCTGGAATACGACCAGGATGTGAGTCTTCCGCTTTGTCTAAGCTAGTCCTGTTCTTCCCAGACCAGGAAACAGAGAGACAGTGAGAGGGACTGTTGGCATTGTTAATTTCCTGAGAAGCTGCAATGCTGGCAATTTACACAGACATGGAGATAGGTCGGAGTATGAGTGCAGAAGATAAAGTGGGAGGGGAGAGGGGCCACTTCCTGCATAGTTCAGCACAAAAACTGTCTCTGACTGGACAGCTGTTTTTTGCTGATTCATATAGAGAGAAAGAGAACGAGAACGAAAGAAAGTCTCTTAAAACTCTAAGTCTTGTATTGCACTGATAAGTGTCAGTTATACTGATAACAAAGACACGGATGACCTTCTTGGATCTCAGCCAGTCAGCCAGTGGCGATAAAGAGTGCACACTATGGTTCTGCCTTCTGATCGGTTCATATCGTGCTTGACTTTGGAATTCTCTTTTCATTTGTTGTTTAGCTCACCGTAAGGAGGAAAAACGCCAAGGAAATGTTTGGTGGGTTCTTTAAGAACATGGTAAAGACCGCTGATGAGGTCCTCATCTCAGGGGTCAAGGTCAGTGTGTCAATCACAACAGGCAGCAGTGTTCTGTCTCATCTCATGATATGTCAATTTTTTTATTATTTTCTTTTTGCAGGAGGTTGATGAGTTTTTTGAACAGGAGAAGACTTTTCTGTTGGATTATTCCGTTAAGATCAAAGATTCCGCTGCTAAGGCTGAGAAAATGACCCGTTCACACAAAAGTGAGACCATTTCATCCAAACGAATCATCTGGCTGCAAACGTTTTGGCTATTTGTTTATGCTAAAAGATATTCATATTCACAAAAAGATTGTCTTTCTTTTTTTAGATGTTGCTGATGATTATAACCACATTTCTGGGGCTCTAAACAGCACTGCTGCAGACAACAACTCTGCCTTTAAAAAGTGAGAAGTGTATTTCATCTTGCTTGCCATAAAAATGCATTATCAAAGAACAGCAATAAATGTTTCCTACATTAAGCAGCATAGCATAATTAATTGATATGCAAGTGAAACTAGTAAAGTTATTAGTTGCATTTGTTAGAGGGTTTTCTTTCACTTCCCCTGGCAAAATTTTCACTAGCACCATCGCAAAAAATGTAAACATGTTATTTTTATATTATTTACATTTAAAGCAGCAAAATTGACAACAAATACATTCCAAAAAAACAAGTGTTGAAGCTTGATGTAAGATTTTTTATTTTTACTTCATCTTTGTTCTCCTTCCAGGCACTTAGAAAAATGTGCTGACGTGTTTGAAAAGCTTCGAGTGAGTATCTCTGTAGGATTTATCTTACCAACTTACAAACCGACTGTTGCCATGTTCAGAAGATCAAGTAACTTGCTATGTCATGTATGTGTTTTGCAGAAAGTGGAGGACAGGGTGGCATCAGATCAAGAGCTCAAGCTGACAGAATTGTTAAGATACTACACAAGGGACATCCAGGCTGCTAAGGTGAAACCTTCCCTCTGTTTGTTACATCAGTTATATATTATATGGATTGTATAATTCAACCAAGTATATTAGATTGTATGTTTTATAGTTGTTTCCAGAATGTGTTCATTGTAGGGTGGAAACCCATTTTTGCCCACCAGACCTGCCTTGTTTTTTTTGCCAGTCTGTCAGACATGCACATCGTTGTGTTCCTCAAGTGCACATCATTGGTTGTAACAGCAACAGAATTTCTTTTTAATCTGATAAATCTTATACTGTAGCTCGTCTGGATGCCACTGTGTAAAGAGAACCCACACTTGGCTGACCAGCCTGGGTCATTGTTCACTAACACTCAAATAAGTTGATTTATCTGAATTATAAGTTTATCAATAATGTATGCCATTGCTTCCTTAAGGACCTTTTGTATAGACGTGCACGGGCACTTGCCGATTACGAAAATTCCAATAAAGCTCTTGACAAGGCTCGTCTGAAGGGGAAGGACATCGCGCAGGCTGAGGAGAACCAGAAGCAGTGTCTGCAAAAGTTTGACAAGCTCTCTGAGTCTGGCAGGAAAGGTGTGTTTTACAATCAAAACCTCTTTTTATTTATTACTTTTATTACTCTGATGGTCTGAGTTTATAATATATGAAGAGTTAATATAGTGTTTATAGATCCAGGCAGGTAGCCAATTGAATCTAGGTTTGAATTCTGCAAGGAGTGATCTCTATGAACTATTGAAATTGTGCCTGGTTAGCTGGTTAGTTGCAGAGAAAGTTGGAAGAATATTGTTGAGAAACTAGAAAGTATCTAAAAAAAAAAAAGTTCTAAAAAATCTAAAAAAGTTATCATGCAAGAGGTTCTGTTTTAGGTGAACTTCCTTTAAGTGAGTAATTACCTACTAACATTGGTTTCATGTGTTTGTAGAGCTCACCAGCTTCAAGGCAAGGCGTGTTATAGCCTTTCGTAAGAACTTGATCGAGATGACTGAGCTGGAAATAAAACATGCCAAGGTGAGGATGATGAAGTGTCATGTGTCCAGGTGGTACATATATTCCTACAGTCGTGGAACACCTGGTAAATCAGAGAATTTTAAAATTGTAATTATACACTACCCCCAGGGGTTCTCAAACATTTTGGAGCCAGTGACCCCTTACAGGGCAAAAACATTTTCCATATTTATAACAGTGATTGACCCCAAAGTTAATGTGGGAGGGGCTAATGAAATATTTTTGCACAAATGGTCTCCACCCAGGGTCCTATGCAGGAATTTCTAAACAGCCTACTGAGGTCCCAAAAGTGATCTTGCGAGGGGGGTTGGGGGGCATCACTTTTGAATTGATTTTTTTTTTAAATTCCCCCACCTGAGGAATTTTTGATGTTCTTGATCTACACACATGTGCATTTTAAGGTGTTTTAAGGCCCAAAAATTGGATAACTAGCTTTAAAAGCATGTCAGTGGGCAGTGGCATCAATTTTTTTGTCAAGATGACAGTTTAAATTTGATAATGAATGATCCACATACAAAATGGAAATGCAGAATGTATATGATTATTGTTTACATGTAGACTGTATCAAAACACAATCACATATTCCAAACAGGAATGGCCTTAAATGAGAAATGTTTCAAGTATTATTCTGCACACAAATATAGCCTAGCCTATATTTATACAATAATAATGGCAATATGTTTAATAGGTGCGTGTGTTGTTAAATTGAGTTTATATCCACTGTAATTAGCTAAAAAACATACAGTATAGCTGTGTTAAATAGGAATCCATAATGTTAATCTCATCCTGGGCACAGTATATGCTTCTCTTGACCTGTAGCTATATTTCCTTTCCCAAAGCGTTCGTTTAAAACTTCTATCTAAAACAGCTGTTTAGTTTAGCTATTTAGGCCTACATCTTATCTCGCACTTTATGACCGTTAACTGAAGCATCGTGCGGGAATTCGCGCTTGGCTTGCAGCTTCTGTGAACATAAGCCCGCCTACTTTGAATTCATCTTTGACATATAATGTCAAATAATTGACATTGACGAGCTGTTAGTCTGCTGAAGCAGCTCAGACGAGAAGGTCAGTCATCATCGCGATGTGCAATATATCCTTGCAGCACCAAATCAGAGTTAATATTAGGAAATTTTCACAACTTTCATTATATACACGCATAGAAAAATTACAGAGGTCCGGACCTCGGGGACCTCAATTGTGGGTACGGCCCTGTCCCTATGCACTTTTTAATAATACAGCACAATTTTATAATTTACCGTATTTTCCAGAAAATAAGTTGCACCTGAATGTAATAGCCTACTTTGTTGCGTTTTTGAGGCGTTAGCCTTCCCCCTCACTCCACAGCAAATACTTAAATTAATCGTAGCCTATGCAGAACAAAACGAGAATGAAAAATAAGTAGGCTACCCTATAAGATAATACAAATAATAATAATAGTATAAAGACAACATTTATTTTAAACATCAAGTCTAAACGAATTAAGTTTAATCAAAACTGAAACTGTACGGACGTTGGGCTCGTGCATCCCTCATTCGGTCCAAAGTTTCCATATTTGTGATGTAGCCTAACATTTGGATGCTTAACTATTTATGTAAAGAAAGCTGCATGCTTCAGTCCCAGTATAGGCCTACACATATCAGCATCTTCACATGCGGAGAAATGAAATTGGAATAACAGCAAGTCGACAGTAGGCTATGAATGATTGACTGCCTTTATATTGTAGCTACAACAGATAAATTAAATTAAGCCGAACTTAAGTTCGGTTGACTATTTTATTTTGATAATGATCAGGCTTCTAATGTCAAATCTAGCAGTGCTAGAACTGACATATTGTGCGCGCACGCGAGACGAGATTACTTGGGATTTTTTCCTCATCAGTGGAAACAAAGGAATACTCTTATTTATCGCCATACAGATAAGACAAGAGTACATCATTCAAAACGTAAAATGTCCATTTTTTTATTTGGTTATACATTAAAAATGACTACAAAATGTCATGCCTTTTAAAAATAAAGAAAACGACAGGATGCGGGTTCATGCCGTCTCTGTCTCCTTTCTGGGTCACGTGCCCCAAAATCAACCAAAACACAGTGAATAGTCTACTTGACGCACAGAAATAAGAAATACAGATAGATTATCTATCTATAGAAACCTTAAGTGTCTACTTTGTATTATTTGACATTAAATGCATTATATAAGTCACTTTGAAATAAATAGCATGTTTTCAGATGATAAAGAAAACACGACTTATAGTCCGGAAAAAACGGTAGGCTGTTATAAATTATTTCGCAGACCCCCTGGCTATAGTTCACAGACCACTAGGGGGACCCCACTGTTTATCATTTAAAAAATAACTTAAAATAGAGTAATGTGTATAGTAATATGATCGACTAGGAAACTCGTGGGGATCTGTTAATCAATAGGTGTGAGAACCTTGATTTTTAACATGGTTTGGCCCAACATGTTGACTTTCTTCCATCTGTTCTCTCTCCCTCTTTTACTCTGTCATGTTCTCTGTTCTCTACACTCACTACAGAACAGTGTGTCCCTTCTGCAAGGCAGCATTGAGATGCTCAAAGGCAACTGACCCACACGATGAGGTCACTGGACCATCTTGAGCTCCTAGCATTGTTACCAACCCAATAGAGGGGAACCTGGATGCACCACTTCAAATGTCCTTAATGTGGTTCAATAATAACTCTAAAACATAAAAAAGAGCCACCACCAGCAATGTCTCTTCCATGTTTACACTATATCTATTTTTTTTTTCTCATGCCCGTTTTTGTTTTTACTGCCTGAATCTTGCCACCAAACTGAGGGCAGTGAACATGACATCACCCTAAGCTCTCCAATTTATTTAAGTTCAATAACACAATTGCTGTGTTAAGTATTCCAGGTCTTGTAAGCATTAGCTGAGATATTTTAGCTCAGATTATGCAGACAGTTATAAACCACCACAATGACAGAAGAAACAAAAGCACACAACGTGATTTTCTTTTGTTTTTGACTGCAATTTTGTACCTTTAAATGTGATTAATCTGCTTTTTGCTGTCACACTGGAAAGCTGATGCATACTAATCATGAACTACTACATAAAACTTGCCATGTGATGACAGAGCAGTATATATCTCTGAAGTGTGGATTTCACATTTTTCTTTTCAATTGAGACTCATTTAAAGACACGACCCAATTTGTCATAGATTACTAGACAAAAATATAAGCGCCATGGGAATTAATTTACATTCAAATTCTGTCAAATTACACTGTCAGGGTCAAAAACAGCACTTTTTGTATTGCATTTGGTGATTTTTATGTTAAACGTAAAGGACTGTGAAATTGCAGACTGACTCTGATGTCCCCTTTTGGTTTGTGTGGGTGAATCTCACAACTTTCTTTGTTTTGTTACTATTAGTAGTTTGTGGAATCCAGAGTTTTTTTATGGTAAAGGTTATGCAGCCATGAATAAGATGGTGGTTCCATATATGTTTTCCTCAAGCTGCATGTTTTCCATGAACTCATCTTTTTTTGATGACTGAAGTCAGATCCTATAGAGTCATATGTGAAAAATGCTTCTGATTTAAGTTTATATTTAGTTAATTTAGTTTAATAGTTTGTATCCACACCCTTTTCCTATCATATAAATCAGCATTCTTTATTCAAATGTATTTTTTTACTTGACTAAACGATTTCTCTTGATGTTGTTACTAACAGTTTAAGACTTGCTACATTTAAATTCAGTGGACCAATATATGTGTAAAGTTTGGTTTTATGTAAAGCCACAAAAATATGTAACTGTGCTGTTCTTATAATGGAGATTGATTTGTAAAAGCACTATTATAATGATGTGCAGACTCAGATGACAAATTTTGTAAATGATTGTATAGATGAAAAAAGTGTTTTCATATGGAGTATCATCATTTTTATGAAAACTTGCAATGATGAAAATGAATATGCCCTGCTTTCCCATTTTGTGTTTTTTTTATGTCTTTTCATTCCTCCTTTTCTATGATGTAAATGTGAGTTTTTATATATGAGATGTTGATGTTGAGTGGTCTAAATTTCAACGTAAAGATTTACATACCTTAAGGTTATGTGATTACAAACCTACATATTCTCACATTTAGTCTCATTGTTCATTGAATGACATTTGGTCTTTTAACAAGTTATTAATGTTTTAAGTTAGCCTTTTTTCCACCAGAGGGTGTCAGTGCTTATGTATTTCAATGACGTGTCACTTTACTGTTGCTTGCTGTGAGAAATGCTAAATATCAGACATCAGAGCTGAGATGATAAAAAAGTTAGGACACACCTTTAGCAGCTTTAAAAAAAAAAAAGCTCCTTACCAATGGCTTTGGAGGAGGCTTTATTATATTGTATAGATACCACCACAGCTGGAGATCAATTAATGGGATTACCAGACACAATTACTGAATTGTCTTCCTCATTCCCTTTTGCCAAAAGCACACTGACTGAAGTTTTTCCCCCAGTGTCCAGTGAGCTGTAGGGCTCATTACATTATCCTCTGATTCATATTTTTCTGTCGATGAGAAGAGGAACTGGTTACTTCTCCATTATGTGATTGTTTCCCTGTCATTGCCCTCTGAACTGTAGGTCTTCATGCCTTAATTTAGACTTCATGGCTCACTATTTTTGGATATTTGGATAGTCTCATGATGAAAGTATTTAGCTCATTAATATTATAAGGGCAGGGGCAAAAAACAAAAAGCTTAATTTGTTAAATCAACGAAGAGGGAAGCTGGACTTTCAAACAAGTGGGAAAATGTTTTAATTTCAGTCAGGATGTGGGTCAGCTCTTCCAAAACACACAATAGATATGGTTGATGTCAGCAGTTGAGGTGGAAATTTTATGGTTTTGCATTTGAATTGTTGTACATAAGTGTAGAGTTCCTCATCTTCTGAAGCTATCCAGTAACGATTAGATCAGATGTGAAATTCAATGATAAACAACCTAGTAGCACTAGGAGTTTTTATGGTCTTTTTTACTATCTATTATGTTGTGCTTTGACCCTAAGGCATGTCATAGCTGTCAACACATAATAAAGTAATTTCAGAAATAAAATAACAGAATTTGAATATCTATTTATTTGTTTATTTGATAGCCTAACAAAATTAAATAATGTCAGTCTGTTGATCATAATAACTAAGCAATCCCCCAGGGAGTTCGGGACCCTGAAGGGAAGTGCACAGACTGAGTGTACATTCTTCCTTACAATACAGCTGAAAGAAATATAAGATGTTAATTGGGTCATCCAATACAATTCCACCCACTTTCCAGTCATACTAGACTTCCATTGTGCACTTACGATACCATTAAATCTTTATATAGGCTACGTGTCCCAGTTTCCTTTTAACCATAATCTAAAAATCATTTTAAGGACCTCCTTTTCTACAGAATTTCAATATTGTCCTTATTACCCAATCGTCCTGTGTCAAAATTACGGCACCTGCACAAAATAGGAGTCAGCAAGGGCCAGGTTCCCCGGCCCTACCTCAATGACTTTTGATAGAGAGAGAGAGAGAGAGAGAGAGAGAGAGAGAGAGAGAGAGAGAGAGAGAGAGAGAGAGAGAGAGAGAGAGAGAGAGAGAGAGAGAGAGAGAGAGAGAGAGAGAGAGAGAGAGAGAGAGAGAGACTGACACACACACACACACATACACAAATATATCCAACATTGTGTTAAATGTTTATATATAATATATATATTATATATTTTATTTGTATATTTTGTATATGCTTTGGCAACATTGTTTCAAAAACTTTTATGCCAATAAAGCCCCTTTGAATTGAAAAAAAAATTGAATTGAGAGAGAGAGATGGGTGGGGGGTGGGGTATGTAAACCGTCGAGTGAAGAATGCAATGAATCACTTAAAAATAGGTAAAGTTGATGTTATTTCAACTTTCAACGTTATACCTATATGGCACAAAACTGCTGCGTTTAATAATGGTTGATTGCAGTTTAATATTTTAAGTTGATAGTGATATAAATGCAAAACTGCTGCATTTCACAATCAGAGCCAAAAATGAGATATTTATGAGTATATATTTTCAATGTCTATTAGGCTACATATTTCCTGAACAATAAGGAGTGTGTTTTTAGACCAATGAGATCTTAAATATGTGCAGGGATACCCAGCGAGACACTACAAACCGACTCATAAGAGCGTTCACACTGACAGACAATATATGCTGTAAACCAGACAGCACGGATAGTTAGAAACTCAGTTGCTTAAAGTGCATTGAAGTATTCCATGATGTTCTCTAAAGTCAATGGAGTGCATCTGTTCTCGACTCTCAGTCTATTAAGACCGAAGTGGTGGTTAGGTACGAGTGCTCTCTTGGTAGAAGTAAGCGGGCCTTAGGCACAGCAGCAAAAATAAATATGTATGACTTTTCTAGGCCTATCTTCAATAAGCAGACCAGTTTGTCCACGCACTTCTCTTGATAAAGATATAGAGAAGCCGTTTTGTTTACTCTGAACAAACATCAAACACTACAGTAACAGCTGAACACTGCCATGCAGTCATAATGTTCTGGGCTCCATCTGTGCTCTAGACTAGAGAAAAATGCACAAGACGTTTAAATTGCGGACTGTTTGTACTGTATGTTTTGTTTAGATGTAAAAATGTCTTATTTTTTTCCCTGAATTCATTAGCCTATATTACATTTTTGCTTCCAACTTGATTTCTGAATTGAAAATTTCTGTATAGAAAATAATTGTAACATTTAATGTTAATATTCTTTCGTATTTATATGCATGTACCGTAAGGTTAGGGTTAGGCATTATTAAACAAGCAATGAACAAAAATACTCCTATGACATATACTTTTCTAGACCATGTGCTGCAGCTCTGACTCTCTCACTCACTAAGCAAACAGACCACGTTGACATGGCCTCGAATGGCTGACCGATAAATCTGTGAGTCAACTAGTTCCATGCCAGATATTTCTAACATTTACATGCATATGGGACCTGTTGTAAAACTCAAGACGATTATGAACCAATTATGAAGCACAGTTTTAAGGGTGAATAAAGATTTGGAAATATTAGGGCATTTATGTTGATTTGATTTTTAAGGTTAATGTATTTATCTTGTAGATCTCGCAGTATAAATTTTTCAAGCATTGTCCCTATTGAGAATATGCTTATATAGAAGTGTGCGCTGCAAAGAGAGAGAAAAAAAGACATTTGATCTATTAAATAATAAAATATAAAGCATGTTGGAAATTACTTGAGAGGTGTTTCTTAGGATAGGCATGAAAAGGTTTGGACTTACATTCAGGTAAATCTGCTCTACTCTATGTTTTGTTCTTTCAACGCCCTCTTGTTCAATTTGATGTTGTGATGTTACACAATAAAGAAATGAATGTGGAATGTGCATCCACTCCTTAAAATTTAGTTCAGTGCATATGAATCTCTCCTCGTATTTTTTTGCTGTGAATTGTACAGAATTTCTTAATTATAATTAAATAATGGCGTGCTTATAATATAAAATAATACCTACAATTTGAAAGGTTTTAAAACAGTTCTACGCCACATTCTTGCAGATGGAAACCACACCCGCTGCTAAACAAATGAATGTGACGAACATACAACCACACCAAAGACTAACCTTTCAAAAGTAAATTAAGATTTTTTTGTAGTCTCCGTTCAGTAAACAGCTCCATAACTGAGTGTCTTGGTATAAGCTTAAGGCAAAGATAAATAAAGACTGATATATTGATCTGTAAGGACATTCACTTTTAGCAATAAATAATTCACACATTGCTTTAAACATTTATTTTACAACAGTCTTTGTTATCTTAGTACAGCCTACCTTTAACTTTAGGTCGTTTGACTACCTTTCCTTTAGGCCTCATAATAATGTTAAAAATGGTATTCATTAGTCTAACCAATCTCCAAAGTTGGATTTTAATATTATATAAATATTCAGCAATGTATTATTTCTTAATTTTCCACACCATGTATACTTTCAATCTTTTAAATGTTATTAAATGAAAATATTTATGTTATTTTCATGGGAGAAACAAATGGGGAAAAACAAAACTGTATTTTGAAGAAAATTAAATTGATTCATATTTTATCTGAAAATAATAAATTAAGGCCTATGTTTCTGAATAGGCCTATTTAATATAGGCTATCTATAATAAAAAAAAAACATTAAAAAAACAAAAACAAACAAACAAACAAATAAAAGGAATGGTTAAAATGCATACAGGCAAGCAACCAGACTGGTGACGTAAAAGGTTGCTAAAATTAATAGTTTGGTAGTCAAATGAAGTCTGTGACAGTAATTTTTGAAACCCTTTTTGAAAAACGAGTTAAAAAAACTACAACTCCCATTCGAGTCAAAAAGACCAGCCTTCTTTTACGATAACAAAATTCTATTGGTTCGTAACTGTTTGACTGACTCTACTCTAGCCAATCAGCTGTCCCCTGGATGGACGGAATGTGGGCCACTGCCGGCGTATTGCCAGCGCGAGAAAGTGCCACGACTCCACACAGACATCGACTGACTCCTCAAGCTGGGAATAAGATTTTTTTTTGTTTTTTTGTTTTGTTTGTTTTTTGCTGGCGTGGTAAGGCACGAGATAATCATTTCTGTTTAAACTCTTCCTGAAGTTATTCATCCAACGGAAATCTGCCGCGAGAGGAGGTGAGATTTAAAGCTTTTGTTATGGCGTTATTCATTAAAAGCTTAAAAGATTTTCAGTAGCAATTAACGTTAGACGTAAACTTTGATCTCTCCCATTTATTTACTCTCCTCTTTAACTATCTCGTAACTCAGGTGGGTTAAAGGCATCTTATAGATGTCACGAAGCGAATGGCATGACTATAATAAGTGGTTTCACATTTTGATTTTGGGTGATGCTCCGTTGTAGGCAGACAGTTAATATCAGCTTTTCCTTTGTGACCTAGCAAATGAAAACTGTCTATTAAATACACATTTCAGCTCCTATAACAAGAATTATCCGAAAACTGTTTAAACATAATTCTGGTTTGCGTTGTTCATTCACGTTTCAGGGAGAAAAGTAGCTAACGTTACAGCTGTTGAGTTGTCTCACTCTTCGTTTCTTATTGTATATTCATTCAACAGCTAACTTACCTTTTGAATATGTGTCAAAAGCGAGCATGGAGTACAAACAAACACTTTTCCAACTAATAATTATCAGCCTTTTTATTCAGTTTCAAAGCAAAATGTTGTGAGTCTCCCCCCTCAGTTTCATTTCTTACAACGGTTTTAAATATGTAAGAAACAACAGAAATCAACTTAAAGGTGGTCCTCATCTCCTATTGGCCCATTTTACTTTTAGTAATCAGGTTTATTATAAATGGATGTCATGGTATTAGCATAATACATGTTTGTTTGATCTAATATTGATTTGGCTTTTTTAATTTAATTTAAGTCTGTGTGTATATATTATATATATATATAACACAGTCAAGGGCTATGCGAAATGGAGCAGTCTAAGTGCATCTGTTTCCCCATAAATGTAGCATTCCTATGTACAAGTTACAGATTGCCACCAAACCTCATTATTGTATACATTGTGCGCTGAAGGCTGTCTAGATTGTTCTTGCTTCTAGAATATGAAGATTTTTTTTTCTGCCACCATGCATTCATGCTTTGGTGCACATTTGAAGTGTGAGATTGGTATGGCAAGAATCCCATGGAAGCAGCAGAGGACTGAAATTTGCTTTGGCAGAAAGCAGCGCATGGTGGAATGGAAAACTCTGTTGCATGCGCTGTGTTTGCATACTGTATAGATGTAGCTTTTTTTCCCCAAAGTTTATAGTAGAAGTGGAGGGTAGCATACTTGGATGTCTTTTCTGTAGAAAACGTTTTTTTTTTTTTGTTGCAATGATCCTCTTCTACTAAATGCATTGTTTGCATATTGTATGGTGGAAGCTTTTGTTAAAATTTTGTAATAGAAGTTGAGGGTAGCATGCTTGGGCATATTTTTTTCTTCTTGCGAGTTTCTGTAGAAACTTGTTTTTTGGTTGAATGGACCTCCTTTCCAAATGAATAAACTAGATGCTTCTGGAACAGGGAATGTCAATTATGCAGTGTAAAATTTGAGACTTTCTTTCGTGCATCCAGGCCAACATTCAAAAGCCAACTTGTATGTCCTTAGAATAAATTGTTAAAATAGTAAAGCGATAAATATGTGTTTGATAAAGGAAATCTAGGAAATCCTGTAAGGTAAGATGGACTCACCTTACTGGGACATTGTTAACGCTTAAGGTGCCACTCTTGTGTTTAAAAAGCCTTTATGTGGAACATTAATTGAATATATAAAACATGATAATATTGACATAAAAATGCCACAAACCTCACCCTTTTTTCCTTCCATTTATTTTTTTATTTTTTTAGAAAGGACACTAGCAGTCATGGACATCTATGACCCTCAGACCCTTGGAATAGTGGTGTTTGGTGGCTTCATGGTGTTCTCAGCTATTGGGATTGCACTGGTCTCAACATTTTCCATGAAGGAGACATCCTACGAAGAAGCTATAGCCAAGCAGCGGAAGGAGCAAGGGAAGACCCAATCTAATCAACGATCAGACAAAAAGAAAAAGGACAAGGCAGCAGAGAAGAAAATTCGTGGTAAGAAAAAGGATGATAAGCCCAACGGGAAGCTCCTGGTGTCAGAGACCACCCCTGAGGTCACAGAAGTACTAGCCGAGCCCAGTCCTCTAATTCTTCCAGCCCCTGAACAAGTTGCTGCACCAGCACCTAAACAAGATGCCCCAGCTCGGTCCCCCCAACCCAACTTTTCTCAACCCGCTCCACCAGCCCAGAAGTCAGCTCCTCCTGCCCAAAAGTCTTCTCCAGCTCCTCCTGCTCAGAAGTCCTCTCCAGCTCCTCCTGCCCAGAAATCCTCTCCAGCTCCTCCTGCTCAGAAGTCCTCTCCAGCTCCTCCTGCCCAGAAATCCTCTCCAGCTCCTCCTGCTCAGAAAACCTCTCAAGCTCCTCCTGTCCAGAAAACTTCTCAAGCTCCTCCTGCCCAGAAAACCTCTCAAGCTCCTCCTGCTCAGAAACCCTCTCAAGCTCCTCCTGCCCAGAAACCCTCTCCAGCTCCTCCTGCTCAGAAACCCTCTCCAGCTCCTCCTGCTCAGAAACCCTCTCCAGCTCCTCCTGCCCAGAAACCCTCTCCAGCTCCTCCTTCCCAGAAACCCTCTCCAGCTCCTCCTGCCCAGAAACCCTCTCCAGCTCCTCCTGCCCAGAAACCCTCTCCAGCTCCTCCTGCTCAGACACCCTCTCCAGCTCCTCCTGCTCAGAAACCCTCTCCAGCTCCTCCTGCCCAGAAACCCTCTCAAGCTCCTCCTCAGAAACCCTCTCAAGTTCCTCCTGCCCAGAAATCCACTTCACCTGCCCCAGCCCAAAAGTCCGTTCCAGCTGCCCCTTCACAGAAGTCTGCTTCAAATGCTCCAGCCCAGAAAGCTGCCCCACCTGTCCCCGCACAAAAATCTGCACAAGCCCAAAAGGCTGTTGCAAATGCTCCAGCTCAGAAATCCTCTCTACCTGCACCATCCCAGAAGTCTGCTTCAAATTCTCCAGCCCTGAAATCTTCTCCACCGGCCCAGAATGCTGCTCCACCCACCCAAGCCCAGAAATCCACTCCACCTGAACAAAAACCCAGTACACCTGCCCCGGCCCCTTCCCAAAAGGCTGCTACAGGTGCTACTGCATCCCATCCTACTCCTGAAGATGCCCAACCTGCCCCATCTCCTAAGGAGAAGAGAAAAAGGAAAGTCAAAGCAGAGTCTGCTTCTGCTGAGGTTCAGCCCAAATCAGTGGCTCCATTGGAGATGGTTACCAAAAAGGTTCCTGTTATGGCAGTGCCTCCAGTGGGCACTCCAAAAGCTGCTGCAGTGACTGCTTTGCCGGCCAAAGCAGAAGAGCCCAAACAGGATGCTCCACCCAAGAAGAAAGCAGGATCCAAGAAAAAGGCAGAGCCAGGTATGCTGTTATCTCCACAAAAAAAAAAAAAAAAACATATTAAGTGTTCACATAATTACTACCAGGATACACAGACCTGATGATGTAAAGGAGGCTGCCCCCTCCTGGTTCTTGTTGAAACTCAAATTTGTTAACATAAGACATTTCACTTTATTAGCATTAGGGATGCTAATGATTAATCGATGATCGATTAATTGTCGTTTTAGTTGGTAAAAACATATCGATGGTCGATTACGCAAGGTCATCATTTCAGTGCGTTGATTTGAGGTGCATGATGGCTCATAAGCAAAACAAGTGCATCAAACACACAAGGAAAAATTAAGCGACCGTGCTGTAGTTAATGATGCTAAACAAGGCTATAGCGTTATGGGATATCACGGGGATGGTTATAGTCTGTGTTCATGAAGAATCCAATCTGTTTTGTCATTGAATTAATATATTATAGTGAAGAATTATTAAAATATCAATATATATTAAGAACTGGAAGATCATTTATAAATCAAGGAAAATATCTGAGTATTCTAAAGGCTTTGATATAATTCAAGCAAAACCAAACTTTATGGAGATTGAATAAAAGTACTCATTTTCGTATATAACTAAAATTCTGTAATATGCACAATATCCTATGCACATTTGGGAAGAAAATAACACTTATAATACCAAAACAACCCATTTGCTCACATGTATCTCCCATACAAATGCACACACGTACAGTACAGACATGCACATGGAAAAATACATGTGCACGAAACTTGTACAACTAGCCTATTATTTTAGAGTAACAAAAAAAATTAATTCGTGAGGAAACTGCTGTTTTGAGTGGCATCTGCACACCCTGTCATGATGGCTTTCTGCCACTGCAGTAGATGCATTTTGCAGTAGGCTATTAAGGTTAGCGATTAATCATTTAAATGGTGATCGATTAGAGGTGGACACTAATAAAGTATTTTTTTTTTTACTTTGTTGAAGTTAAGTACATTTTTCAAATGTCTGTACTTTTTATGTTAGTATTTTTATTTTGGAAACCTTCTTTTACTTAACTACAATTCCAAAGCATATAATCCCACTGCATTTCATAATAACATGTCGTTCCACGTTATTTTGTACTGAAGAGACGCAATGGCAGTCTCCGACTCATAAACAAGCTGATTATTTTCATATAACATGTTAAATCAGCTTGTAAATGGCACTGAACAATTCATCAACTGCATCACTTAACAATTCTCTGAATTCCCAAGTCTGACTTGCCAGATGCACCAAATGAGCCAAGCATGCGAGATCCTTGGAGCTTAAGTTACTAATTACTAATGCAGAATTTTAGGATTTTTGTTGTAAATGAAAATCCTATTTAGGTCACGACTGTCAGTTGTTTGTGAACTAAATCTGCTGGAAAAGGGAAAGCTGTTTAAGTCCATTGAATGAAATGCTTGAATGTGGACAATTAAAGACCTCATATTATGCATCTTCATGTGCAGCATCTCTTCAACGCTTTGACCTAGGGACCATATTAGGTTAACATTCATTTGAAATAATCTTCATTGTCTTTAATATCTTTATTTAATATATATATATATATATATATATATATTTTTTTTTTTATTGACTTAAAGTAACTTACTTTTTATTTTATTTAAAAAAAATTCATTATCAGTATCATTAATGTCATTATCAGGTTGATGTAGTAGACACTAATATTAGACCCGGAAAATGAAAAAAGCCAGTCCAAATGTTTGTGTAGGACCCAGGTATGTCTTAAAGGAAGTTTGGCTTCAGTATGCAATAACAGGATACTTCTGATTGGTTTGCCAGACCCTTAAATACAAAGAGATAAAACTGTTTTGGCTAGACCGCACTGATGACATCTACATGTAATAAACCTCCAAGCTGAGCCTGGAAAACCTGAATATATGGTGTATGTGAAGTGGCTGACTCAGGAGTTTATGTGCATGTTACTTCCTGATGTCATTCATCTAATTCTGAGTACCGTCTGGATTGTCTCTTCTGACAAATAGCGCTGAGGTGCTCTATTTCCTTTGTGGGCGGTGTGTTGGAATAGCACTAGTCCTTATTTGCTGATGTTGGCTCTGATTGGTTGCAGAGAACTCAGAGTAGGTTTATGTCTGAAGTGCTACTCACAGGGGAATTGAGGCAGTGAGCTGCATTCTTCTGCTCATGTGCTGGATTTCATGCACGTGTGTGCTAGTACACAGGCTATTAGGCACATGAGATAGTTTGAGTTTAGTTTAATAATGGTTTCATAGTCTGAACATGTCCTTGATTCTCATGCTGTTATGCATAAGTTTGGCTTTACTTTGTCTCTATTTTGCACAAATGTGCAAAACTACATAATGGTTAAAGTTTGCATAAAGCAAATAAAAATAATTCTAGATATATTACCCAACCTCACTCATATAATAGTTAATCTATTGTTTGAAGAGTCAACCATCCAGTGTTATCATTAACTAAAACTATATATATATATATATATATAAATTAAATGCATTTATTTCAGTTATTTGCAAGGCAATATGTCTAATTTTTGTTTCACTTTAAGTTGAAGTACTAAAAATACTAAAACTAAAATAAAGAAAATTATCTTTAAAAAAACCTAATAAACACAACAAAATAACTAAAACTATGTATAATTCAAATTCAAGAAATGTATAAATACTGTAATATTATATTAATGAAATAATAGTCTTTTATATATATATATATATATATATATATATATATATATATAATACCACTCACTTGTGATGAGGTATTGCACTGCTTTGACCATGGGAAAATGCAGAGTTTTGCGCCAGCGTGCAGGTGGATTTCCAAATGCACTCAGAATTCCACTCCTCTCTACGAAGTTCAGCCCTCTTGGCCCTGTTCAAACAATACGTTTGCCTCAGCTGCTTCATTAGGGGAGCACACAAAGGCCTTTAGTGACTGGACAATAGGAGTTTATTGCCAGTCCTGGGTGCCATCTCACCCTGGTGCCACACACTGGTGCCATGCTGGCACTGTCTAAATAACAAAGTGAGTCAATAAAGGACATTATAGCAGCACATGCACACACCACTGTACGAGTCCAGTTAACTGTATCGTACACGTCATTCCCTTGAAGCTGCACTTCAACAGGGCTTTCTGTTTTTTTTTTTTTTACTGTGCTGATCTGAATTGGATGCTGATTATGCTGTGGGTGTTAGGAGTGTAATAAATGGGTTGGAAAATTAACTCTTAAACACAAAGAGTTTTAGTAGACACTGTGCTTGGGCCAGAGACTGATCTGCTGCAAAGCACTTCTTTGCTTTCTGATTCGGCTTCAAAACAACACTGGCACTACAAAAGGGGGCAACTGTATCTTCTCTGTGGATGGCAGTTATCTCTGTGATTTGTGATTTGTGTCCCTTTTACTCGTGCATAACCTTAATAATTTATCTGTTTTTTGTCTCTTTTCTCCCTCACTAGCGATGGCTGCAGACCCCGCAGACAGCCCACTGTTCCTGCCCTATAAGTCTCTGCTTTCCACGGTGAGGAGTATGGAGTTCACTGAAGTAGAGGCCCAGAAGCTCATTGAGATTCTGTCTGATAAGACTGGAATTATTCAAGACACGTGGCACAAGGTATGGCCAACTTCCTAAAGTTATGTTTTTGTCTTGTTTTATATTTTAAGTGAGTATTATTATACCCATCACTTTATTGCAAAAGTTTGTCTAAACAGTGTTTTGTGCATGTTTATAGGCAACACAGAAGGGTGATCCTGTGGTTGTGCTGAAGAAACAGCTGGAGGAACGAGACAAGCAGCTGGCAGCTGAGCAGGAGGACTCAGCAGCTGCTAAAAGCAGACTGAGGGATTTGAGTAAAGTAAGACCTGAAACACTCAAGCTAGTATAAAAAAATAATCACATAAAAAATTAAGAAAAGTTTGATATGTGCATATGCATCAAGCATTACAAGCACTCTATCATTATGGACTCTATTAGGTGAAAATTGGACAGTCCTTTTATTAAATGTTTTGCTTTAGTCTGATATTGACAGTTGCAAGGTTTGAACCTATGATGCCATTCAAACGTTTGGGGTCGGTAAGATTTTGTAATGGTTTTAAAAGAAGTCTCTTATTCTCACTCATTTATGTGATCAAAAATACAGTAAAAACCAATAATATTGTGAAATATTTACAGCTATTTTTTATTTAAAAATGTATTTTATTCCAGTGATGCTAATGCTGAATTTGAGCGGCCGTTACTGCAGGTTTTAGTGTCATTTGATCCTTCAGAAAACATTCTAATATGCTGGTTGGTGCTCAAGAAACATTCTTATCCACCTTATTCCTGACAAGCTTACTGCGTTTTGAATTATGGGCGGCACTTCCGGTTTGGGGAACTTCCATTCAAAAAGACTGAAACGAATCATTTCAAATCATAAGGTTGCCCTACAAATAAACCTGATCCGTCAGTTTGACTTAATGAGCAATCAGTTTTCTTTCATGTTTTATCTAAGAATAACATGAGAATAACGTAACACTTGGTATTTTAACGTGACATGTTATAACAAGAATATCCATAGTAAGAGCTCTGCATTCTTTTCCTCATGATTCTTTTCTTTTTTCCTTTTGAATTCCGCTGTAATAGTATGACAAAGGTCAACACATACTGCACATTTGTGCCCTGTTCTCCCGATTTAATTTACGATGTATACCATTAATAATTCACTGGAATCCTCTCCAAATCCTCACGTCTCTTTCCAGGTTTGGTTTCACAGGTAAATACAATTTATTATCTGTCAAAATGACTGAAATCACTTTAAAATAGTATCACGTAATGCTGAAGTAAAACACTTTTTTATTTAGGCAACGTATGTATGTTACATAATACAGATTACCACAGTGATATTTAATCGACCGATTTAGCTGTGGAAAGATGCTTTTGAGATTATTCATGGTCTGTTGAAAGTTACCTTGTTGATGCTTTTACACTTTTAAATGTCCTTTTAATGTTCAATGGTTGAAGGGTGAGTAGAATAATGTAATGTCATCGTAAAAGTTTTAAAAATCTATTATTGCGTCCATAGAGCTTAGTCTTTCACTGATTGTTTACATCTTAACGGAAGTTACACCCATAATTCGCGCAAAGCGTCATGGGGCGCAGGAATACTGTGGATATATAATGTTGAAAACAAATGTGCTACTGAATATCTTTATGGAAACCATGATACATTTTTTAGCATTCTTTTCAGGACATTTTTGTTACATTTATTTTTGTACCATTCTAAAATTATTTATTTTTATCAATTTAAATGTCCTAGCTGAAAAAAAGTATTAATTTCTTAAAAAATATATGTATCTCATAGCGACCCCACACTTTTGAACAGTAGCCTATTTTCACGCCAGATCATGACCTGTGTTTGTGTTTGTGTGTAGGAGCTGTCTGTGGAGAAGTCAAAGGTGGCATCTGTAGAGACCAGGTTGAGCTCTCAGCTGAGCAAGCGAGAGCAGGACATTATCGCCCTGCAAGCACGCATGCAGGCCAGTTATCAAGACCACCTCGCTGAGTCTCAGCAGCTCAATGCCAAAGTGAGAATTCAGCAGATTCTCTACTGTTAACCTGTATGGTAGCAAGACTCTATGAAAAGTTATGAAATTGCAAGGACATCAGGCAAAAAAAATATTTAGTAGGACAGTAAATTAAAATAATAATTGCATGGCAGTTTGGGTTATTAATATGATTAGCCTCAAATTATGATTTGGCTGAAATTATGAAATGTTTTGTGTAAAAATTTGTAGTAGATTGTACCAGTGATGGTTTTGTCATTAATATTAGTTGTAATGTGAAATTAGGTAAATGTATTCAATTTACCAGGATTAGATCCTTTTAATTAATCACATTAGTGAGCTTTGGCAGCCCTAATATTTACGTGACATTTACGTGACAAGCCCTTTCTGTTCGTTCTCAGATCTCGGCTCTCCAGGACCAGTTAGAGAAAGGCCCTAATGCTCAGCTGGCCCGTCTACAGCAAGAGAACTCCATCCTCAGAGATGCGCTTAACCAAGCCACCAGTCAGACGGAGAGCAAGTATGAACCTACAGCTCCTGCCAAACCCCAAAATGTCTTGCTTGCTTAATTTATCTTTTTCAGAGACCACACCTTGATGTTCAAAACCTTTGACCAATAACATTGCAACAGACTACCTAGCATGACATATAAAATATAGGAACCAAGCAGCCGTGGTTGCCTACTACAAAATTGAGTTCTATTTATTTTGAACTTGCACATTCCTGATCTTTTTGTGCACAATTCTTCATGACTCATTCCAATTTTTTTTTCATTGTCTTCATAATTTATCAAATATAATGACATTCTGCCTCCATTTAAATTTGTTATTTATTTGTTTCTTTATTGGTCCAGACAAAATGCTGAATTGGCCAATTTGTTGTTTTTTGCTTGTGTGTTCCAGATTTTTTTTAAAACAGGATTCTTCAGTGATAAATATTTAAAAAATATATATTTCTTCTTCTTTCTTTTTTTTTTACATCCCTTTAAGTCCCTGGCACCATTCTGATACGTAACATACATTTTGATGCAAACCAGATAGAATTTCACTTGGATGTTTATCAATTACATTAGCAAAATGTGTTGCGAATGGTGTTCCATGTTGACTTTAATACTACACTGGTGTGTTCAGAATGTTGTTGTTTTTTTTCTCTCCATTTAATTATTAATTTTTTTTTGCTGCATCAGACAAAATGCTGAATTGGCCAAACTGCATCAGGACAGCATTCGGCTCAATAAGGAACTGGTAGAGAAGAATGATGCCTTGCAGGCTGAAGAACAACTCAGGAAAAATCTGGAGTCTAAAGCTGCCACAGCTGAGAAACAATTGACCCAGCTGCAGGTAAGAGGTCCATCCTTCTTAAACCATTCTGTGCACCACAGACACCAATCAGTATTGTTTAGTTTGCTGAATTGTAGTTAGTTTTGTACCAAAGAGCTGAACAACAATAGCCCAAGCAGTACCATACCCCTCTTATGAAAGAGTTCAAAATGCCACTCTAATTCTTATAAAACCTCTCCCAGCATGAACACCAGCCTCATTAGAGCATTCTGCTACCACTTGCTGGGCTGTTTAGCCTTGTACATCAGCAGGTATGAAGCATAGTTTCTTGCAATCTGTGTGTGTATTAAAGAAGCTTGATTAGGCTTGCTGGTAAAGCTCAGCTCAGACTTTGACCCCCCAATGCTGGTGCCTCTAGTAATGGGATTGTTCACATGCTGGCAGAACATTTGATTGCCAGTTTGATCGCTCAGCAGTGCTCCGTGAGTTGGAACATGGCCAGAGCTACAAGAAAGTGCTTCTTCGAGCGATTTGGAATGTGAGCCTGCCTAAGTAGTACAGTTTCAGACAGAAGTATTTGATTATTCATACTGGAAGCACAGATAAAATGGCTTTAGCTTTGAGAACAAACTGCGTTTTTTTCGCTAATCCACATCTACAAATCAAAGGCCACCGGATAAAAAGCTGCCTTTTGTTGAAGTGTTTACTGAGCTCATTTTGAGCATCTAGATGGTGTACTGCATGGGAGAGACATGGGTAATGTGTGGAGAGTCAATGCTCCCATGTTATGTTTGCATAGTCCCTGTTTAGAATTTAGTCTAAATTATCATCAGGACCTAAAATTAATGAATTTAATGTACAGTTGTTCCAAAAAGTAATTGGATGTCTAAGCCACACTTAACTAAATGAATGCCTTTTTCATAATATATCAAAATATCAAATTGCATTATATGTTGTTATATTACCAAATATCACACCAAATGGCATTTTACATTTAAAAATATGTATATAATCTTTTTTTTTCTTTTTTTTTAAGAAAAATGTTAGCATCTTCTGTTTACAGATGAGTCATTACATGTCAAATCAACCAAATTTTGGAAATTTATCCAGGTCAAATTTTAGATTTTGTTAATATTTTTTTCTGAAGAAAGGCAAATATAAAATGAAGAAAGGCAAAACATAAAATGTTATGTATGTATGTGTATATTGACTGAGTAACTATTTTGTAGAGGGGGGTCAAAATGACATTAGAGCCAACTTACAGGGTGGTAAAAATGGCTTATGACTTGAATCTTAATGGCTTAAGAAGGCAGCATCATTATTTTATTTTTACACAGAGATTGGTAGATCTATTAGTACAATCTGTTGACTTTAGCAATCTTTGTTGCATTATATGCCAACGATGACACTTCAAAAAAGCACTTCTTGTGTTTTTTGCCCTAAGTTTGCATGCCTGTAATTCAAGAAGTATTAAAGGTCTCTTAATATCCTTTTAGATTCTGATTCTTAACAAACATTTCTTTTGGTATCTTAATTTTTTTAAGACCCAATATGGTTCAATCCCAGAGATATGGGGATCTCAATGTGGCTCCATGAGTAAACTGGTAATTTGTACACGTTTTCAGTGGTCAAACACCAGATGTGGGTCACTTTGCATACATTTGACACTTTTTTTTTTCTGGGTCACGGAATGACCCAGATTTTACATCTTGGTTTGACGTTTTGTTATTAAATGTAATGTAAATGTAATAACATTTTTGTGGATCCACTTAGTGGGAATTTAACATGTTCAAACCTGCTTTGTTCATTAAGACTTTGAATTCAGCGGAGTTGCGCGATCAAACTTGACATGTGCTTTCTGTGTTATGGTTTGTCCCCTGTAGGCGAACTGGATAAGCAGCGAACAGGCCCTGCAGAAGCATCTGGAGGAAGTGAGTGAGGAGCTCAGACAGACCCAGAGCAGCAGAAACAGCTTTCAGACACAGCTTGAGCAGAAAGACACCACTGCTCACGCAGGTCAGCACCAACTTTGTTCTTAAGCAAGGAAGCACATTGTTGAATCACAAGATGGATCCAGATTGCTTCAAATCATTTCTGTATAATTAGAAAAGCAAGATAATGGTTCTATGTGGGCTTTAAATCCTGCAAGGTGTGATAGTTGCAGTATCACCAAAGTGCCCTTGAGCAAAACACTTAACATCAGGTTGCTTGTGTTGCTTTGGACAAAAAAACATCAGATATGTGATGAATTAATAATGAGAAATAAGTGTTCTCTTCCTAACCACTGTTTCAGAGGCTCAAGCTCGTGTGGCCAGTGTGGAGGCGGAATTGAAAGAGCGGAGCGAACAGTTGGAGAGTCTGCAAAGCCAGCTGAAACATATGCAGGCAGAGAGAGAGCAGCAACTAGAGGCGAGCCAGAACAAAGAACAAAACCACAATTCAGAGGTGACACTCCACTTTCCATGTCCCAATACATTTATCTGTGTCACATAATAATAGTCATGTATTATATGTTATGTGTGTATCAACCATTCAATTTCACCTTATATAAAAGTCTCATAAAATAATTTGTAGATGTCAAATTGAATAAATGGGTTGAAGTTTGTTAAACATTTAGTTATTTGCATGTTAACTTTTTACATTGCTAATTAGGGGTGTAACAATACATCGAAATGGATCGATGCCACACCTAAAATATCGATATATACGGTACCTTTATTTTGACACTCTCCACATCCTCACGTCATTTTCTCAGCTGAAATAGACGGCTGACAAGATTGACTGAACCCAAACACGTTTTGTCACAAAAGCCGGAGTTCATGTTTTACAGCAGAAACCGACAAGCACCCTTGTTGTTTGTGAACACTACCCGAAAAGTCAGTTTTAGCGAATCAGCGCGCAGTTTTCTGGTCAGGTGACAAGGCTGTTAGTCACTTCGAAAAGATGCGCTAGCTAAGAGCAGTTTCGTCTAAGCTGACTAAAAGTGATGAACCTGTGATATCTAAAAGCTGAAACTTTTTCACGCAACCTTGCTAAAGTTAGTGGTGAGGGAAAAGCTCCCTGTATTGCGTGTAATCACAACAATAAAGTTTGTCAGGTGTCTATGTCAGCTGAGGAGATTAACGTTACAAAGATTAACCGAGTGTTTTATTATGCATCATAGCAATTACTTGGTTTTGTTTAACTCTGAAACATGAAATGTGGAGTTATCTGCTTTTGCCAAAAAAAAAACGATTGTTGGAGTTATCTGCTTTTGCAAAAAAAAAAAAAGAACTTTTAATATATAAAAAATATACTTTCAATGAACTTTAATTTTGTAAGTTACCTGTATTTTTTGAGTTATTACTTAATCAAAACAACCCAGCTGCAGTTTGATTTATATTACTTGGAATGCACAATAAAAAAAAAACATCTGTTTTTGCAAATGAACTCTTGTTGTAAATGTCCCTATTGGGAGAGCAAGTTCAATTTTCAAAAAGTTGAATTAAACGTTCATGTTATTTATTTTGGTTGCATTTGTGAGTTAATAAACGTAACTAGTTGTGTAAACTTGGCACATAATATCTAAATATCGATAAATCAATCGATATAGCCCTGAATCGAATGGAATCTTAAATGTATCGAAGAATTTTTTGAGGTATCGGCAAATATCGTATTGCTGGCTGAGAGAATCAATATCGTATCGTATTGTGATGAACTGTCCGATTTACACCCCTATTCCTAATAATAACTGTTCATCTGTATCAGTCTATGCATTTTCATTTACATTTATTAATTTAGCAGAGGCTTTTATCTAAAGCAGGGGTGTCCCTGCCTCTGGAGGGCCACTGTCCTGCAAAGTTTAGCTCCAACCCTAATTAAACACATCTGAATAGCTAAGCAAGGTATTACTAGGCATACTAGAAACCTTTAAGGCAAGTTGGAGCTAAACTCTGCAGGACAGTTGCCCCCCAGGATCAAGTTTGGACACCCCTGATCCTAAAGCAACTTAGAGATGGGGTATACAACAAGTGAGATACATATGTATGAATATATAATGTATGGTGGAGCAGTAATTTCATAAGCATGTGCATTTATCGTCATTACAGGCTTTCATGGCTGAACTGGAGCAAGCAAAGAGCAGGTACGATTTACCGTTTGTGTATGCTGTTTTTTTTTTAAACACTGTTTTTGCCTTGTTTTCCAATGAAAATATCTATATATCCTTAAAACATAGCTTTAACTTGAAAAGATAAAACTTTTCAGATGACATTGTATTGAGGTTTTTTTAATTGACATTTTCTTGTATTTAGCATAAACTTCACAAAATTTTTGTACATTAATACATTTGAAACAGCTTTGCACTCTCAACATTTGTTGACCATGAATTCACATTAACTGTTTAATCTCTAGCCTGAAAGAGAAAGAAAGTAGAGTTTCAACTCTTGAAGAAGAGCTGACCCACCTCAAAAACACCATCGCCAATCAGGTGCCAGTTTCATTCGTAAATTTAACTTGTAGTGTGTAACACGTTTTTTATTGTTTATTGTACTACCTTATTTGAACCAATCACATGTCCCCTTCAGATGGATAACACAACAGAGATGCAGCAACTGCAGCACAGGTACAATGAGGATGTTTTTTGCTGCTTTACTAGTATAGTTCAGTAGTGCTTAGATGATTTGAATGATTTTAATTTGTTTATTTTATCTCTTCATTTGAATTAAAGCATAAAAGAAAAGGATGAGCAAATAGCAACTCTTCAGGGAGAACTCCAACAGGTTAAAGAAAAAAGTTCAGACCTCAACACAGTAAGTTTATCATATGCAAACTTGCAACCCTCAAATAACAATTAAATTCAGTCTTAACCATTTATGCCGTTTAATTTAATTATTATTTATAGCTTGAAAACACAGAAATGCTGGAAAAGCTACAAAACAGGTATGCGTCATTTGTGATCCAAGTAACAGCTTCACATTCATGTTTCTTTTCTTCATATTCTGTTAAGATTTAATGGCATGTGTTCTCTCTTTCCTGTTCTTGTAGTTTGAAAGAAAAAGAGTCTCAGGTGGTTTCGTTTGAAGAAAAGATAAGGCAGTGTAAAGAACAGTACAACACTAAAGTAAGTGAGACTTGGCTGTTATTATTCTGTTTTTCAAAAATGTTAAAGCTAAAGTGTATAATTAGTTTGTTTAAAGGGGTCCTATTATGCTTTTTTTATATTTTCAACTTTCTTTTAGTGTGTGATGTTTCTGTTTGAACAAGAAAAATCTCTGCAAAGTTACAAAGCAAAAAGTCCCATTCAAAGAGAGTTATCCTCTATATCAGTAAGCAAGCACTGTTTCTGAACTCCCTGAAACATTTCCGAAACAGGCTCGAATCGGTGGTCCAATCACAGCACACTGGTCCAGCCGACCAATCAGAGCACATTTTGCTTTCGGAAGGTGGGGCTTCATATAGACTGGAACTAAGCAAAGGCTACATCCTAAATCACACACTTCCCTCATATATAGAAGGCGAAAAACAATATGTGACGAAAGAAGTACGTACGAATTCACAGTACTCATAAAAGAGTAGTCAAAGTACCCAGATGACCTACTACTTCTGGCGAGATTCTGAAGTGCGTATATGATGGATACTACTATCCCATGAGGCCACTGGAGAGGATTTGTGAATGGCAGTAAAGCAACGTAACTGACCCTGGTAGGTCACATTGCATAGTCAACAAGGCGAATGTAGTGCGTCCAAATTACATTCATAATACACGCGTTCATACTATATATAACATACTTTTTTAGCGGTCGCAAAGTAAGAACTTGCTCGAGAATGCGATTTCAGATGCAGCCAGAGCGTTACAGACAGACTGGGAAGCGAAGTGCTGTAACAATGTAAATTATTTTTTGAACATTCAAGCATAAAAACCTATTGTAGTAGACCCCAAAAACTAAATCAAGACTTAAGGGCATAATAGGTCCCCTTTAAAAAAAAAAAAAAAAAGTGTTTTGGACTATTTCTATAAATGCACTCTTCATTTACAGCTGGAAGACAGCACAGCCAAACTGGAGTCACTACATAAAAGGTACATATTCAGTACTACTGAAGGCCACTGCATCTTTGTTCCTGTCAGCCACCCACATTAAGATCATTCTTTGTTGAGTTGTTTTTCGTGATGTTTTTCAGTCTATCTGAAAAAGAGAGCCTTGTGACATCACTACAACAGGAAGTGCAGCTGCTCAATGAACTAAATCAGTCACAAGGCAAGAGTTACGTAAGTAGCCGAGACAATTGTGGACGTGTCATTATCTTGCATGTACACAGTGATTCATAAAAATATGCGTAGGCAGCATACATCATCATGTCAGCTGGGTATATGGCGTTGCTGTATAAAGCAGATTGTTGCAGAGCTCTTGCATTTCCATTTCAGGAGTGTTGACATAAAGATACCATATAGGTCTTTCTGTGTGTGTAAAATGTGACCGGTACTACTGGTATTGAAAATGGTGACACCATATCAAGGATCATCAAGGAAGTGTTATTTTACACTGCAGTTCCCAAATCTTACTCAAATCTTTTTTTCACATTGTTTCACTATTTGAAAGTTTCTTTTGGATTAGTCAGTGTTTAGTTGTGCTAAGAGTCTCAGCTATTACCTAAGACAGAAAATAGAATGTCAAGTTTAAGAGGTTTGGTGCTGTTAATGTAAATACTGTGTTCAGTTGTCTCTGAGCATATAATGTCATTACAGGAGAGTTTGGAGGGCATGCTGAAATCTTTTCAGGCCGAGACCAAAGAAGTTCTTCACTCTCTTTTTCCACAAATCAACATAGAGACAGCACAGGTGTCTAGGATTTCAGTTTTCTCGTTGTTTCATTTCTCAGTTTTGTTTTTGAATTCACTTGTAATGTTGGCTTGTTTTTGAAATGCAAATACATGTAACATAAGTCCCTCTATACGTACACTACAAAAAGTTTGGGGTTGGAAATTTTTTTTTAAATGTTTTTGAAAGAAGTCTCTTATGCTCACCAAGGCTACATTTATTTGATCAAAATACAGTAAAAACAGTCATATGTGAAATATTATTACCATTTAAAATAACGTTTTCTATTGTAATATCTTTTAAAATGTAATCTATTCCTGTGATGACAAATGAATTTTAAGCATAATTACTCCAGTCTTCAGTGTCACATGATCTTTCAGAAATAATTCAAAAAATTCTGATTTGGATCTCAAGAAGCATTTCTTATCAATGTTGAAAACAGCCGTGCTGGTTAATATCATTTGTGGAAACCATGATGCATTTTTTATTTCAGTATTTATTTACATTTGTAATGTCATAAATGTCTTTACTGTCACTTTTGAGCAATTAAATGCATCGGTGCTTAAATTATTTCTTTCTAACAAAAAATCTTAGTTACCCCAAATGGTAGTGTACTTAATCTTGTCATTGACATTAAATGGAGTCACTTTATTAATAAAGGATGTACATATCTTCCATCACTTCCTCTATTCACATCCTTAAATGGTGCCTAATCCGGAGTCTCTCTTTCTTTTCCTTCAGACCAAATGGCTTCAGGACTTTGCTGTGAATGTACAAGAGGTGCTAAACCAGAAGCAACAGAGCCAAGAATCCCAGCTAAGCACAGAGATGGAGGTGAGCATGCTGCAGTTTCTGGCCTTGCGCTATTATCATCTTTGTGGCTCTTCATCACTCACTAGTGGGCATGTAAGGCATATTTGTAGTTATTACAATGTTGTTTTATTATATAGGAGTTAATGGGGAAACTACAGGCAGCCCAGGAGAGTCAGTGCACACTACAGTCTGAGTGTGAACAGTACAGGAGCGTACTGGCTGAGACGGTGAGATTATACACTATTAATCTGTTACATTTGAATGGGAATGACATTGAGCCATATTTGTTTAATCTTATTCTGTAGGAGGGGATGCTGAAAACACTTCAGAAGAGTGTAGAGGAGGAGGAGACGGTGTGGAGGACCCAGATAATTGAGTCAGAGGACAAACGGAAGATGGTGGGTCTATACACTGTACACACACACACACACACACACACACACACACACACACACACACATATAGAAAAATTGTTTTCTTTGGTTATAGAAAATATCTTTTAGATTTGGTTATGGTTTTGTTATTCAAGTTTACTTGGACAAGCTGTGTTTATGGATAACTTTTTGGGGGAAATTTGGAAGATGACTACCACCAAGGGACAGTGAGCGTGAAAGTTTCAATCTGTCATGTTGTGTTTTCATAGGCACTCAAAAAGGTGCAGGAATTAGAAGAGACAACAGAGAGTTTGAGAGCGGCAAACCAGAGCACCCAACAGGTATAGATTTCATCAGTGGAATGCAAGTAAATTTGATTTGAAAAACACTGCAGATACCCTGCATTTATACACAAAACAAGCTAATGTGTAGTTTTATGCTACTTCAGTAGTTTGAACCAAGTGTATATAAAGAATTACATTTATGACAGCTCTCAATATTTCTCATGGAATCTGTTCCCTTATCTTTCCATGTTTTTCCCTGAGTGCAGCTGGAGGAGAAAGTGTTGCTGCTTGAGGCCCAGGTGGAGAAACAGCAGTCAGCTTCCACTGACAGCCAGAGCCAATCTGAAGAGATGACGCACGTGAGCGCACACTCCTGCCTAAAGGCCTATTCACTAAAACACAATTTGAGATGCAAAAGCAAAACAAAGTCATCTTAGTCATTCAATCCATTATTAAATGTCTTATAAATAAGAGTTTGATGGGTTGATATACATGCAGTTTAATTTCATCTGATGTTGTGAATAGGTCTTGAGCTTCTGATACGTATAACACATGACTTACTTGTGGCTCGTTCTGCTCTGCCATTTAAAGGTGCTCTATGTAACTTTTCTACTAAAATGAATCCTTTTTTTATTGCCTGTGTGTGAAGGGGTTGTAATCACACATTAAAATGATCCACTTGTCGAGTTTTGCTATTACCTCTGAAGGCCAGTATTCCTATTTCTATGTGAAGTCTCCGGGTCGGATTTACCACGAAATCCAACGGATGTGACGTGCATGTGCGCTCCCGAGCCTCTCTCCTACAGTCAATGTAGACGGTCAGGGAGTTACGTCCGGTTAAAGGCGCATGTTTTTCGGCTTATATCTCAGTCAATCTTTGATCAATATTCCCAAGACTCTAATCGTTTGTAGTGCTGGACGGGGCCTTTCGAACGAGCCCACCCCGAGGTCCAACTCGCCCGGCTCCCCGAGTTATAGCCGTTCGAAATCGGGGGTCCCAGCGAACTGCGATCCGGGGGGGCATCCCCGAGGCCCGCCACTCTAGCGTTCGGGCAAGGGTTCCCCTGGGACCTCCTCCCCCGAATTTGAGCTCTCTGGGTCTTTGCGTTCCAGAGATACGAGCGATTTTCTTCAAAGATCGTGACGTCACCGGCGTCTGCAATTTTGCAGCGCGCCCGATGGTTTTCTGCTAATATCTCCGCGAAAACACCACCAAAAACTATGGAACTTATATGGTTCTTTTCAGCTCGACTAGATGGTCCCAACGAGCTCGGTGCTCGACGAATCCGTCAAGTATTCGCCGAGATATTTGCGTAATAGACGGTATTGTCTATGAGTTCGAGCACGAGCGCTCTTGTAAAATTTGGTTGCAATCTGAAACATCACCACTAGAGGTCGCTAAAAGTTACGTAGAGCACCTTTAACAGTTGGTTTGTTTGTTTTTTTAGTTGAAGCAGGTTTTAGCAGAATCTGAAAGACAGCTGAGTGTGGCCATGATGGAGGCACACAAACAGAGGGAGGAACTTTCACAGGTTGGTTTCCTTTGACATACAAACATTTGCTAAGGGTTTACACCCATTATCCTTTGTTTATTCACAATCCTGTGCCAGACATGAGGTTTTGCCAAAAAAAAGCTGTTGGTTTTGTTGAGTGACAGCTTCCTTTTCCAGGTCAGGCAGCAACTGAGTGACGTGACAAAGCGAGCTCAGGGAGTGGTGGAGAATGGGCAGCCTGAAGCAGAGGAGTGTCAGGTTAGGGTGCGACGCAGAAAGGCACCCTGCATCTCACTTGGCAGCATTAGATAGATTATTTAGCACTATGGCTGTCTCAAAGCGAAGCAATGCATACAGAAGTAGTCTTTCAAAAAATGGTTGCTGACAAAAAATGATTTGCCGACTACGTTTTGAGACAGTGTGTATTAATTGTCTTCAGTGTCCCATGATCCTTCGGAAATCATTTTAATATGCTTATTTGATACTCAGTTATTATCAGTGTTGGAAACAGTTGTGCTGCTTAATATTTTTGGAACCTGTGGTACTTTTTTTTCAGGATTTATTGATACAAAACTTAAAAAGAACAGCATTTATTCAAAATAGAAATATTTTACAATATTACAATATAAATCTTTACTATACATTTTTATCAATTTAACGCATCCTTGCTGAATAAAAGTATTAGTTTCTTTAAAAAAAAAAATACTGACCCCAAGCTTTTGAACGGTAGTGTATATTGTGATAAAAGATTTCTATTTTAAATAAATGCTGTTCTTTTTTAACTTTTTATTCTTCAAAGAATCCTACAAAAAGTATCACAGGTTATAAAAAAATATTAAGCAGCACAACTGTTTCAAACATTGATAATAAATCAGCATATCAGAAAGATTTCTGAAGGATCATGTGACACTGAAGACTGGAGTAATGATGCTGAAAATTCAGCTTTGCATCACAGAAATAAATTATATTTTAAAGTATATTAAAATAGAAAACCATTATTTTAAATTGTAATAATATTTCACAATAATACTGTTTTTACTGTATTTTTGATTAAATAAATGCAGGCTTCATGAGCATAAGAGACTTATTTCAAAAACTTAAAAAATAGTAATGTTTCCAAACTTTTGACCGAATACACTATTGTTATTATTTACAAAAAAAGTCAGTGTTACAATACGTCTCAAATTTGGTCATATTTTGTTTAAATTACTTGACCATATACTATTTTTATTTTTGAGGATAATTTCCCCCTGTACTAGAGGCTATAATTATGTACCATACACATCTTTTTTTCCCTGTCCAGTGCTGCCAATGAGGAGACGTTTTTCTCATAATTCTAACCAGTCATATTTCAGCATTTTTGTTTCAGCGGCTTCTGTTAACCTAGGTGCCTGTTTTCACCTCTGAATATCTCATCCACTCTTGGATTTTCGCTCTCACACACCTTTTTAACCACTAACATGTCTTTTGTATTTGAAACTCGCACTTCTTTTTTATGCTTGTATTTTGAATGCAGTGTGTACTAATGCAGCTCTTGTGTTGGATGGCATGGAAAGGTTTTGCAGTAGCTCTCATAGCTGATGTGATACTGTTCTGTTGGCTTGGTCAGGTCCAGGCTCAGCTGGAACAGACATTGGAAAAACTGCAGGGTGAACAGACTCTAAACCAGCAGCTCTCTGCAGAAGTGGAGCAGGTACAGCAGTGTCCATGACCTTGTTTCTTCTTGATTTTTAAAGCCCATTATTCATTAAACTCTTTAATTCCATCCTTTTTAGGCTCAGGAGGCCCTCAAAAGACAGCTTCAGAGCCATCTAGAACAGATGAAGGCAGCTGAAGACACTGCAGTCATGGGTGATGTTGTTCAGCTGAAGGTACATTTTGACTAGATGATAAACAGTATGATCAGTTTTTTGTGCCTTTTTTATGTTCACAAGTTCTAGAGTTTGATGTTGCATGTGAAATCACTCTCAAAGGGTGGAACGATTTAGTACTTTTTTACATTTTTAATGTACCCTTTAATGCTGACATGACAATAATGCTTCTGACTGGTGTTTTAGGAGTGTCTAGAGAAGGAGCGAAAGATGACCAAAGATTTGGGCCAGGCAGCCACCAAACTCCAGCAGCTTCTGAGAAACAGTCAGGACCAACTTGCTAAAGAGAAAGAGAAAGTCATAACCCTGCAGGATCAATTGCAAGACAAGGTAAAACATTATACTGTACATAAGTTTATATAGTAAGATGAATTGCTGGATGTCTATGTTAATGTTGTTTATGTGCTTCGATTTCCAGGAGGGTGATGGAGAGCTGAAGCAAGGCACTTCTGTTTGAGGTGGAAAACAAAAATTGTTTGCCAAAAATTGCCTTAAGATGACCAAAATGAAGCATTCCTGATTTTTTTTTTGATTTTTTTTGCCTTGGTCTATAGTCTTGATTGAAATTGTATGAAGACTTTTGAGAAATCTAACTAGTGCACAAAATTGTATTTAGGAGGTGTGCTGGAACTATTTTCACTTTACATTCCAGCTTAAACCTTCTGACTATGTCAGAAATGATTCCTCAACTGCCTTATATATTCTTAGTGTTCTTGCATCTCCTCCTGATGTCAGTGTTAAAAGGGAAACTGTATGTACGTTATTCGTACATCAACTAGTGCAATTAATTACTTGTAAGTGAATGAGTATGCATAATTGTATGGTACATGGGAACAGCATTTGGAATGCCCTCTCTGTAGCTGGCTTCAACACCACTGTATAACTTTGATAATTAATTAATAAACAGCAATATGGCTTTCAATGTTTCAAAAAGGCTGTTCATTTTGACATAGATGCATCTGGATTTATAATTAAAAAAATACTTTGGATAAACATTTTATAATGTCCAACATGACCAACTGTATTAAAGGGTTAGTTCACCCAAAAATGAAAATTATGTCATTAATGACTCTCCCTCATGTCGTTCCAAGCCCGTAAGACCTCCGTTCATCTTCGTAACAAGATATTTTAGATTTAGTCCGAGAGCTTTCTGTCCCTCCATTGAAAATGTATGTACGGTATACTTTCCTTGTCCAGAAAGGAAATAAAGACATCGTCAAAGTAGTCCATGTGACATCAGTGGGTAAGTTAGAATGTTTTGAAGCATCGAAAATACATTTCCGTCCAAAAATAACAAAAACTACGACTTTATTCAGCATTGTATTGTCTTCCGGTTCTGTTGTCAATCCGCGTTCAGTGATGCTGATGATGACGTAAGACCCTGCTGACGTGTAATCTGGTGCGCCCGAGCTTCGTTTACAGTCTGAGGGAGACGCACGCTGGAAACAAAACGATCTTCGGAAACATGTCTAAGGATTTCGACACAGAGGAAGACATGCATTTTTTTGCCCAGCCATATTTATTTGAACCCGAATACACGGACGCACCAGATACATCTCAGCAGGGGTGGGACAAAGTCATTGTTATGCAAGTCACAAGTAAGTCTCAAGTCTTTGCCCTCGAGTCCCGAGTCAAGTCGAGTCAAAGATGAGGCAAGTCCCGAGTCGAGTCAAAAGTCAAAGCCAACAAGTCTCAAGTCGAGTCCAAAGTCCTACCATTTTAGTTTCGAGTCATTTCAAGTCCTCTTACCCAGGGCTTAATTTGAGCCGGAACACGCCGGAACATGTTCCGCACCTCTGACGTTGGATCCGGAACCTTTTTTATTGGATCCGGCACCTCCTGTGTCACTATGGAAAATGAATAATTACTGTTTGTGTAGTGTTCAATGTTGTTTGTTTCATTCTATCCTTTAAATAGATTGGACGGTTAACGCCAATATAGTTGCATACACTTGCTTTATTGAACACAATCAACCCGGCCTGTACTCTCAGATATAAACAACGGAAGTCAACAGGTGTTACACTTATTTATTTATTTATTTCGATCTCCATTAGCTGCACAAGAGCAGCTACTCTTCCTGGAGTCGATACAAGCACTGCCCTTTACCACAGAAATACAATTTATGAATTTATGAACACTGAATACAGTCTGTGCTGCAACAACCATCCCAACATTGTTATCTGTCTTGTTAGTCTTTATTCCCCATTGAAGTTCCAAAAAAATCTTGTGTTTGCAGTTTCGATGCGTTTGTGACAGGGTTCTAAATTAACACCCGCCAACCCGCCAAATGCGGGTTAAAATTCATTTTGGCGGGTGTTAATAAAAACTTACTAGCCAGTTTGGCCGGTGATGCATAAGGCTCTGTTCTCGGTCATTTATCCCCCTGGCAGTACTTCCTACATGTCCCATGAACACTGTGCCGTAATGCTACGTGATGACGTTTCATACGCCCATTGGCTGCGCAGTTTGCAGTGAAACCAGCGCAAGAAATGATCATGGAAATTGGAAACGAACGGAGCGTAGCCTACGCGTCCGTCCACCAGAAAAAAACAAGGAAGATGAAGAACGAGCCAGAGCAGGGAGCATAGAATGAAAGAGGAGGGAGCTAGTAAAGTAAAAAGTTAAGATTAAACTAAATGCGGCGGTGGTTGGGACAGACTGCTGGGTTTAAATTTAAATGTCGTTTAACGAGAGATAGGCTACGTTATTTTTTTAAGTTTAAGGTTTTTGTCATTATTTCTGAACAAGCGTATACATTAGGCAATTACACAACAAGCTTACTATATATCTTAAGGTTTTCTTTTAGTTGAAAACATTAAACAATATGTGTAAACAAAAAAATATGAACAACAAAAGCATTTAAGCTCAAGCTGCGCAAACGGGGAAAAAACGCAACAAAAAAAGAAAAAAAAAGAAAAGCAGACTGCGCAGTTATCGTACAGAACGTACATACTCGAGTCAGCATATGATTAACGTGTTTATATTGTTTCACGTTCATGTTGAGAAAAACAATAATATCCACATGCTCGAGTGAGAAAACGTGCTGCGCTGACACAGACGTTGCAGAGACACGTGAGTGTGTGCAAAGTGAAGTAACAGCACTTTGCGTTTTTCTGTTCTTAAACCTGTCTCCCTCAACGAAACTTAAAGGAAGCATATGTCTCAAAATCATTTTGCTACCAAAAGATATCATCTCGGATCACGATTCCCTCGGGGTACAGCTGCTGACCTGCAGTCGTTAATGCAGTGATGGACAGCTGCTTCCTCCTCAGTCGACTGGTGTTTCTTTGGATTTCATGTGATTTCTAATTGTGGTGGTGATATTATGATAACTCAGTTTAATTAATAATTGATTAAACGTAATTCCATTTTGTAATAGGCTATCATTATCATCTAAGTAATTCCAAACTTCGCGAGGCAGACAACGACATTATGTGATCAAATACAATCCAAACGCACCCAGTGCATTTAATTATAACTGCGAAAAACCATTCGAATAGTATTTTATTTTTTGAATAATAATTACAGATCGAAAATTCGAATATTCGTGCACATCCCTAATAGATAGATAGATCCCAAACTTGAAATGAAATGTTTGCACTTTCTGTGTTGTAGGCCTATTGTAGGCTACTTTATGTGTTTTTTCATGCCAATGTTAATAAAATGATCTAATGCATTCAGTGGCACTCATAATTTCTCTTATTTTCACCGGGAAAAATTTGGCTATAGTGGAAATTCTAAATGGCTGGTAACTTTAGAAAGTTACCAGCCACATTGGCTGGTGATCAAAAAAGTTAATTTAGAACCCTGGTTTGTGAGGTGAATTTTCAGGGTGGGTCGCACACCGGACGAGAAGCGCAGCGCCACGTCTTTAAAATTCTAACACACTATTCTCTATGTACACACACCGGCAGCGCCATTCGGCTTTGTTAATGTAAACAGAGCCGATCCGCCCTATACGCTCACTACGCAAGCTGCGTAGGGCCCCGCAAATTACTCAAGGCCCCGCCTCCCCCTCGTGTCATAGCGCGTCAATTAATGTTTACAACATCAATGACAAAATGAAGCGAAACTATCCTTCTGGTCACAAAAAGAGGGGGGAAAAACATGAGTGAATTGCGGAAACAACAATCAGGTAAACTTGTGTTCTCTCCTCTCCAAGTTTGATGTCAGCAAAGTAAAGTTAAGTTTATGTGCATTTCTATTGTGTTTTTTAAAGTGCAACGGCTCGGAAAAGATAACCGCGTCGCGTGTGTTATCATACGTTCATATGCGCGTGCACGAAATGAAACGCGCATTTTTCAAGCAGAAATATATGTGGAGAGAGACCAGACATACTGTAGCCTACAATATTTGGGCCTGAATGATGACACTCCTCATCAAATTACACATTATACATACTTTTAAAACAAGACACTGATTATCTAGTCTCAGTCAATGTGTAGTTAAAAACTCTAAACAACTGCTTATGCAAGATGGAAAGCAATGTATTGACAATTTGACATTGATTGACTATTGATTTATAGGCTATATTGAATTTAAAATGTTGATTAGCTGGACATACTGGTTAATATGGATGCACATCCCTCAGTAAATAATAACCATAAATCAAGAATTGCTTCAACATGCATACTAAAACAAACCTTTAACATATGGCAAGCCATTTTAGCTTTTATTCATTCACAGTTTATGCATTTTTTATATCAAGAATTCATTTATTTTTTTTACTATTTGCAATGTGAATTCTTGATAATTTTTTACTAGTAGGGCCCCTTAGTTACATTTTTATCTACCAATGTCTATTTCTGATATCAGGAATTACATGTTCACTTGTACAAAAGTTAATTCTTGATTTCAATGATGTCATCACTCACAGGGATTATTGATATCTGCAACACAATATTCACTTGTTATCTTAATATTCTATAGAAAATACTCTATTCAATAAATATCATTCTGTTCTATATTATTGTACTTATTCTTATTCACGGCTTCACGGGTCAGGTAGAGGGCCCCTTAGCAGAATTTAGCTTAGGGCCCCAGGGAGGTCAGGATCGGCACTGAATGTAAATACTGTCTGACTTCACCCTGTGCTGCATGCAATATACATTTAGTTTTACATTCATTTACAGAAATCAGTTGCTTAAATGAAAATTGCTGATGTTATCGGATTTTCAGGTGAGATTCTCAATTCATTCAGTTAACGGACACTCTGAGGTGAAGTGTTCAGAGTCTGCAGACTAGCAACGATTGTACAGTGCAATCATAACATAATACAGACATTATCTTAATTCCATAATGTCCTTAAACATAACAATATTGCTGGCCATAAACTGAGAAAGTGCGCGTCCGGTGTGCGATACCTCGAGTTGTCCTAGACGCGACGCGGCGCATCTCGTCCGGTGTGCGACCCCCTTGCTGCTTGTGAAAACTTTTTTTTTTTTTTTTTACATTTTGCACCCATGTAGTGCATGTTCTGAAATTAAAATAAACA